ATATAGATAAATCCATTTAGATGATGAGTCCATAATAAATCTATCCACAAATTATAAATAGAATTAAAGATATACATTCTCTACCTATTTATATAGATAAATAATAATGTATATATTTTTAATTAATTTATTTAATTTTTACAATGATACTGGTTAATGAAATCCAATAAGTTTCAGCTGTACCTTTTAACAGTAAGGCATATATATGTTTACATTATGTGTTCACCTCCCATAGTTAGATTACTTTCTGTCACCACATATTTGACCCCTTTTACCCCATCTACCTCCCCTCTCTCCTCTATCCTCTGGTAACCACTATCGAGTCTTTGTTTTGAGAGAATTTTGAGTGAGATAGTTCACTTACCCTGCTGTGAGAAGTAGTAGATTTTTTGAGGAAATGGATGAGTGAAGAGACTTTTATTTATTTATTTTTATGCCTACAGCACTTGGTCTTCCTAGGTGGTCTCCCACCCGAGTTCTAACCAGCCTAACCCTGCTTAGCTTTCACTATCAGACGGGATCAGACATGTTCAGGGTGGCATGGCCATAGAGTGAAGAGACTTTAAGACCATTTTGCTCTGTGTCATACTATGTAATCACCCTTTGTTATTAGGGGGTATACTACAGTAATGATTTACATTGCTTTTCAATTTTTTTTTCTTATTGGATGACATATCAGGCAAAGACTGTGCTTCAGGTGAGAGCAGGTGCATCCAGCTTACTTACAATTAGTAGGACTTGGTGACTAATCAAGTGTGGGAAGTGATCAGAAAGAAGGAGTCCAAGATGACTGACAATGATGTCCGAAGTCTGGTGAGGCTTACTGACAAAGAGACATAGCGGGTCAGGATCAGGGAAATGATAGCACATTCCATTTTGATCTTGTGGAGTTTGAGGTGCTTGAGAGACAGTCAAGGGCAGAAGCGATTAGCCCCTGTGACTGGAGCTCAGGAGATAGCCCCAGGCTGGACATGGACACTTGAGTTTCACCAGCATTTTTGTGGGTTTTGTGGCAGCTGAATACATATGTGATTTTTATGTCAATTGTATAGGAAGATAGATTAGGTAGATAGATAGATAGATAGATAGATAGATAGATAGATAGATAGATAGAAAGAAAGAAGATAGATAGATAGATAGATAGATAGATAGATAGATAGATAGATAGATAGATAGATGATAGATAGACAGACAGACAGATAGATAGATAGATAGATATAATGTATGTGGCTAAGGAAAATGAGGAGGTCAAAAACAGGAGTGGGTAACATTCTCATTTAAGGAATGGTCTGAGAAACAGAAACTAAGAGAAGCTGAGTAGGCATAGTCAGATGTGTGGGAGAAAACTAAGGAAAATTGGTGTCACAGAGCCCAAGAGAGAAAAGAGTTTCAAGACAGAGGGAGTGATTGTCAGTGTCAAATGTCACAGACAGGTAAAGTTACTGGATTTAGCCATTAGGAGATGACTATTAGGGAGATGGTGGGGAGTGGAAAGACCTGATAGCCCTGAAGAGTGGAAAGAATGAATGAGAGATGAGAGCAGAATACTCTTTTAAGAAGCTGGTTTGTGGAGGAGAGAGAGGATGTAGAATGACACAGAAGGAGAGAAATACAGAGAAAAGGGAGGAATTTTGTTGGGGTGTTTTGTTTATTTATTTTGAAAATGGTTGAGACTACAGTATATTTATAAACCAAGGGGTAGAAAGGCAGATAAAATTTACAGGAGAGTTGGATTTTGTAGAAGCAAAGTCCCAAGAAGGGAAGAAAGGGTATGATTTAGCACATGTGTGCAAAGTTTATACTTAGACCAGAGTGATGAGGTGGAGGTTACAGAGGACGAGAGGGCTGGTGGAAGGGTTGGAGTAAGCAAAGGGAGATCGTGACAGATGGCAGTAAGTAGATAAAAGGAAATGATATTCTGAAGTCCATAGTCCAAGTGAATAACAGGGTATAATTTCTTTTAACAATAAAGTAGGGATTTTGAATGCCCATTGTGCTCTGTGCTAGGGCTTACTATCATAAAATGAATAATAGGCCGTGAATCTCAGGGTCCTCTCTGGTACTCACCTCAAAAACTACTTAGCTTTTGTCCCCGGCTCTCTTTCCACTTTCCCTTTCTTCCCATCCCCCTTTCCTTTTCTTCTGTTTTATTACTCTCCTGCACATATTTTTCTTCTCTCTCTCTACCTTACCCATGGGCCTCTGTCTTCCTTTCCTTCTCCTGTCTTCCTTATCTACACACCCATCTCTCCTGACTCCACCCATTCCTTTTCTCTTCCCCTCTTCTTCAAACTAGCCAAAACAAAGGAACAAAGTCAGTTTTTATTTTTATTATATTTATTGAATAAACATTTGTTTCCCGTGTTTAAAACAAATAAAGTGAAATTTTTATACTTCTTTTTCTAAAACTAAAGGTGTACATGAGTCTCACTTAGCTTTGTTCTGTTGATTAATGACCCTTGATAAAATAATCCTTCCCTACCTCTGTCAGGGCTCATGGGGAAGGAAGCAGAACTTTTCATCTGTAACAGACATGTTTATTTTGCACACACTGTTGACTCTGTGAAAAGAGAGGACTTAAATGTGATCATCTTAAAGAACAAGAAAAAAAATGAAAACCTCAAAAAATTCATATCGATGTCCATACATTCTGTGTTACACCTGGAATTCAAATGATAGAGGGGAATAAAAAAAACATATTTCTGGCCAAAGAAAACTGGTTACTTCTGGAAATCTTATGCTGTTTGTTACTAGCCAAGAAAATCAGTGTTCTTTTTGTTCCCTTGACCTGGCAAGGAACAGAAATGAAGGCCACATGTTGCCCTAGTAACAGACGACACTCCCCACATGAAGAGAGCTCTACCTAGCCACACACAGTGCTGTAGGTCCTCACTCTGGCCATAGAATCTCAGGAGCACAAACATAACTGACACCGACTTTGGCTTCTTTAGGTGACCAAAGGCCACAGTTTGTAACAGTGCCTCAGCAGAACCAGTCCTTGACACTGAAGATGATTTCTGTTGAGACTGGATGTATAAAAATTGCTTCTATTACTAAATTCTGAGCCCAGTCTGCCAACAGCCTAAATTGTTGTTCATTACCTTTAGAAATAGTTTTTGAATTTTATGACTTCTCAACAATACCTCCAATTATAAACTTTGGCAAAAAGCCAAAGACAGCCCTTACAAAACTATAGAGAGGACCAAAGTTGTCTTTGTGTTTTCCAGTCTCTTGGACTGTTTCACATATGTTCGTTCCAGACAGTGCTCTATGCTACAAATGTATGCTTCCCACAAGCTCCTCATACTCTGCTTTCCTCAGTGCTGGATTACTGCTGACTTTCACAGGAGAATGAAAGTACCTAATAAAATAATTCACAATAAATTACTAACTGGAGAGAAAATAACTCCATTATATTCATTTATTTGGAGGTACTTGCATTTTAAAGGAGTGCCTTAAAAGGAAATGCCAAACCCAAAGAGGACAAAATCTTAGAGGGGAATTTCAACCCAGTGGCAGGCAACTAAGGAGGTACATAGGGGGCAGGAATAGCATACTCCTATCCCTAGAGACCCTCCCGTGGTAATCATCTATTAACCACATTTTTTTTAATGATCTTTTGCCATGGATACATCAAAATTATTTTGATGAGTTGTCTTCATTATCTACAAAGACTTCAAACCTTCTTTTTTTCCTCTCTTCACCCCACTTCTGACACCTAAACCCTGTGCTTGATTGTAAAATCTTAAGAGAATCCAAAGGCAAAAGTGTCTACAAAAATAAACAAAGTACTTGTATAGGTATGACTTCATGGGCATTTAAAGACAGAAAATTGAATCCCTTCCCAGTTTGATCATTCTTGAAACCACCAAATTCCCATGCAATTTACTTTGTAAGTTTGAAGAGACCAGACAGTACTTCACAAATGATTAGCCTTTTCTTACACCCAGTTTCAGAGGGCTTTCTTTTAAATAAATAATTTCTGCTTGCTAACTTATGCTTTTCTCTCACTTTTCCGCTTTCCTCTCTCCCATTTACATTTCTCAGGACAAATGTTGACTTTCACTTCACTGCCAGCCCCTCTCAACCTCAGGTAAGTGAAGGGGTTCAGAGTTATGGTTCTACCTGATAGTGTTACCCAAAGAAACCATGGTAACAGGAAGAGTCAGCATGTGGTGTTGTCCTTGATCTTTCACAACTTAAGATATATTTGTATTTTTGGAATGTTATTCATGCTACTGGGATTTTGGACACAACATTTAATCTTATCACCGGAACTGGTGTGAAATGGGAGACATGACATTTGTTTATAGACATTCCTTCTCTCAACTTTCAGCAAATTGTGTACCTATTATGTACCAAGCAGTATTAGACTGTACTAGGTGCTGGGGATAGCAGGGTGAAGAAGAGAGAGATGCAAATTCTGCCCTCATGAGCCTTATAATTGGGATGGGGTGAGGGAACAGAGAGTGGAAGGCCAACACTAAACAGATATACAAATAATTAATTGGCATGGAGAAATAATAAAAATAAGATAGATTTTAATTTCTACAGTGTTGTGGGTAGAATAAATTAGTTTCTCCTGTCATAAAGAAAGAACAGGAATACTGACAAAAATTATTAGAAAAATTAGAAATTTATGTTGTGCCATTAAGCCATAATTATAAACAGAATAAAGACATGAAAACTGTGATTAATTCAGGCTGCTTTTCTGGTGACACTTCTAGCTAGCTAACTTCCTTCCCCCCTCCCCTCCGCCCCCCATGGCTTCTGAAAGAGTTAAAATTTATGCAATAGTTTAAAACAGATTTGCTTAATGTCCTGATATTTATTATAACTCTTCTGCAGGCTGTAATACAGCTTTGGCCATAAATGGTTACTTAATTTTTGCTTTGGATATGCTAAAACTGGGATTAACATGTTATATGGACACCATTGTGACACTATTACAACTGCCTGTGTGATGATAAATATTTTCAGAGAGAAAGCCATGATTTGTAGTGTTTGCCCATTTCTGTGGTGTAAATACCTTCACCAAGGCTGATTTCATGCTGCCAGCATGATGTCATTGCACACAGAGTTGGGGAGAAATGTATACAATTAGCTCCCCAAAACTGTATGAGCCCGCTCTCACATCTTTTAAGAGTTAAATTTCTCAGTGGTGAAAGCCTCTACAGTGCATATACACTGCCACCCAGTGACAGAAGAAGACTATAGACTCACAACCCATTTCCCTCAACATTTATTGGCCACTTAATTCATGAAATATTTGAAAGCACTAATTGCTAGATGCAATGAGAGATATCTAGAAAGGGAGGAAAAAACTTGCACCCCAACTTCAGAATGAGTACAGTCTGATAGTCCTGTGCAGAGCTATAGTTAATATGATATACTGAATGTTAGAATGCACTTTCAGTTTGCAGATGGAAAACCCATTGTGATTATATATTGTGGCTTCCTTTTATTTAAAAAGAAAAAAAGTATGTAAATATTAAAGCCTAAGTAGTGTATATATAAACCCCAAATTAGGGTAAAATATACTTATAACAAACTAATAAAAACAAAATAGAAACTCGTCGATATCTATGAAAGTCTTACTTTAATATTAACTATTCTCATTTTGGCTTGCACTTTATATCCTCTTCAACTGTAGAAAAGCTTTTATATTCCTACAAACTCACTCACACTATTGCACATTTTCAGATAACCTTTATCATCACTGTCTGCCTCTGTTCTTGTAAATAGAAGCAAGTTATAGAAACTAGGCAGGTAATCGGGACCCAGGATGGTGATTTTTGGCCTAAATTCCAGCCATTGCTTTGGACGCTTGTTATTTGCTTATTTCTGATAAAAGTAAGTTAACAAGGCAAGAGTCAAACACATTTATGTGAGGTTTCTAGTAATTCAGAGGTAAATATGTTTGATAATATTTTGGCATATAGATAAGGCTTCAGTAGATGTCTACTGCTTGCACAAAACCAACTCCTGTATAGGTATACATGTGGTGAGTGCTCACTGTTGCTAAAAGTAACCACAGTAATGGTTTTGAATCACAAGAGTGGGTTCCCCTAAGAACCAAGGACACCTCTTGGGAATTCCAGAGGATTCACCTTTGGAAGAGGCCTGTATCACATGAATTGAATCAAGCTCCAAAATGAAAGCACAAAATGAGGTAGGTTCTTGCGAGTCTTGCCATCTGTTAAAAGGCATGAACAGACTTCTAAACAGCAGCGTTAATGACACTCCTTAATCTTGGAATTTTTTTTTTTCCTTCCATAAGAAAGCTTTGGAATAATGAAAAACATTATATTTTTATCTCTCTGGTTCTCAGAATAAGGTTAGTAAAGAGGATGTTGGAATACAACATTAAGTTTTAACATATTTTGCCTCACTTTAAAGTGATAGATTTGTCAGAGTCCTCAAATATGTTTTGGTTGGTTTCCTCAAAATTTTAATCACATATTTCATGTCAAGTTTCTCAGCTAGTTACCTTATTTATAAGTATTTGGCAGAAGTGCCCTTTCTTCATTATTAGCAACATGTTTAAAACTTAGAGTTAATAAACTTTTTGAATGGATTTACAATCTAAATAGGTGAATAGTATAACCTGTTTCTATTGTAAATTTTTTCTGATTCTGATGATATTTGAGAAATACTTTTAAAGATACTCAGCCTGCCCAAAATTGTGAACTTATTTCAGAGAGCTAGATATAAGCCTTGGTCTTTAAATGTTGTTTCACTATATTCCAGCCAGGAAGTAAATTCTTTAGCAAAAAGTCTAGGGGGAGGGTGGATCCAGTGCTAACTCTTGCCTATAGGAAGGTAATTAAGATTCTTGAAGAACAGGCTTATCTGCTTGTCAAAATGGAGCTTTCTTTTCAAAATGACCACACTGAAGTAAATCTAGTTTCATATTCATCCTACATATTCCTAATTAAAATGTTGGAAGGTCTTCTTAAGTAGAAACTGAAATAAATGTAGCAAAGTTTAGTTGAGAAAGAAATGCCATGGAAAATGAAATGGCAACACTGTGTGACATGGCTACTTGTTCAATGTATTCCGAATATCTGGCACAGAGCCCTGCAGAGAGCAGTTGTTCAAAATGTGTGAAATGAATGACTAACGGAACTAATAGAGGCTTACAGGGATTTGCATCTGAACGTTGTGCCTAATATTAGAAGAAAGAGTCCTATTCATATGAAAATAGTTTGAGTTCATGGTTTTAACAAATTATTTTCTTTTTCTTATTCTCAGTATTTTCTATACAAATTTCCTGAAGATGTGGACTCAGTTATCATTAAAGTTGTATCTGAAATGGCTTATCCATGTGCTGTTGTCTCAATCCAGAATATCAATGTGAGTCTTAATAACTTGTCAAACTTCCATTATATTGTCCAGGGATAAATGAAAGAGAAGGGTGAAGGCCATGTCTCTCTACCTCCCGTAAAACTGCTAAATAGTAAGAACAGTACCTTGTACACACAGTAGGCAGTCAATGGTTGGAGACTTTGATTTGGGGAGATAGATAATACTTGATGCTTCACCAAAATAAACAAAGGGAGGAAGAGGCAGGGAAGGAGGGATGATCATGACAAAGTACCAGGAAAACAAAGTTGTGGACTACAGGAGAAAAAACAGGAACCTATCATTTGTTCTAAGTTTTAAAATGACAAAAAATGTATGATTTCACTAGTATGGGAATAGAAAACAAAAATTAATAAAAGAAATAACAAAACAAAATAAAACAAAAACTCATGGATAGCAATAACAAAATGGTGGTTACTAGAGTAGAAGGGGTGGGGGAGGGGCCAAATATATAATAAAGGAAACTAGACTTTTGGTGATGAACATGCAAATAAAGTATACAGATATCAAGTTATAATGTTGTACACCTGAAATGTATATATTATTAACCAATGTTACCTCAATAAATTTAATTTAAAATATATTGCAATATTAGACCCTTTTTAGAGTCTCAGAGGTGTTAATAAAAAATGGAAAGGTGTCATAAACTTTAAGACAACTTTTCAGTTCTCTTTGATATAAAGTGACTTTGACTTTAGAGGACAAAGCACCAAGTTTTAGGAGACCTTTCACAACTGTTCTGGGGAAAACTTTTTATGGTTTATGGCTCAGTAAGGAATCCCTTTTTCTGTAAGTGTGGTATGACGTGATATGACACTAGCGAAGCTTTCCTTTTTATCTCTCATGTACATTACAGTGCCCAGTATATGATCTCGACCACAATGTGGAATTTGATGGTGTCTATCAGTCCATGACCAAGAAAGCTGCCATCACACTACAGGTGAGACATCGCTTCCGTGGTCACTATTGTCAATGACAATGTGCAGTTTATGATCAGTTTACCTACTAGAGCAGCATTCAAAAGGGATCGCCATTCACTGTGTGCCTCGGACCTCTTTCCTTTCTGACTGGTTTTGAAACAAAGATTGCTATGTCTGAAATCAAAGGTTGGGCAATGGTGGATAATGCTACTCTACCAGGCACCCCATATCCCCCGGGGAATCTTGGGAACCCCGCTTGCAGTGAGACAAATATCTGACAGATTGCTTAGAGAGATAAGGGCAGAAAATTTCAATCTTCTCAATGGGGGATCCCAGTTTAGGGTAAAATTTATCTGATCTATTTAAAGCTATTAAACCTAGTCTAATAATAATTTGTACAGTAATAGTAAGCAAAAGAAAACTTCAACTCTGGACAGAATGGACAGGTTCAAAGGAATACAAACCACATAAGTGCAGCAGTTTGTCCTTTTGATATTTGTAATTAAATTATTATTATTTTAATGGTAATTTTACAGCAAAAATATACATACATGTCAGCATATTTTCTAAGAAAACCTGTCCCCAACTTTGGGGTGGTATTTACCTGAGGTATCTGATTTGATCTGTTCTCTAGGTTAACGTGATACTGTTTACTGAATAACAGCAAAGAATGAGAGCTTAGTTATCAGACCTAAAAACTTCTATCGGCTTTAATCTTCTAGTTCCTCGGATTTAATAGTCCAAATATCTGCTTTTGTTTTTAATATTTATTTCTTCCTTACCATGTCAACATTATGTAGTCCCAAGTAAAAAAGGTCAAAAAGATAACCATAGTAGGGAACTCAGATTTTACTTAATCCAGGACACTAAATAATGAAGCCCAAAGCATATTGATACTTCTTTACTTTGAATGTGTTTGGTAATAAATTCTTACTTCTCTTTTGGGCCCATAGATTTACACTTGGGCCGTTTTCTCAGTGGACTAAACATGATACCAGAAATTTGGGGATGATAAAAGAAGACAGAGATGCAGAAATAGAATAGACCTTAAAGATTATCTTGTCAACCATGCTTCATTCATGGAAAAGGAAACTGGAACACGAAGAAGCACATTTAGAGAAAGTCAAAGCCAGGACTGTAACTCAGGCCTCTGACTTGTCTCTGCCTCCCTAAACTATGTATTTAACTGCTGACTATATGACTTTTAGGAAAGTCCTTTGTCATTAACTTTAAAATAATAAAAAACTTAATAAAGTGAATTTAAAACTACTTTAAAAAATCAAGTTTATACATTTAAAAAACTTAATATACAAGTATTATTAAACATAGGCTAATGACATATTATTTATATGGTGCCTATTACAATTTTAAGCACCGAAGTGCGCACAAAATAGATTGAAATTAGAATAGTGCATCTATTTAATTTCTTGGATGTAGCAATTATTTTATTGTGGCTAATCTGGAGTAGATCGTGATGGGTATGTGAAAGGCCTTTCTAAGAAGTTAGGAGGCAGGAGTGAACTCTGCTTTTCTTCTTTTTCCTCTTTCTTTCTGCCCCCATCCCACTGTCATGGACTCTCTCCCCTCTTCTATCTTTCTTATCATAAGAATATAAGAACATATAAGATTGTTATGTCTTATGCAGAAGAAGGATTTTCCAGATGAGCAGTTCTTCGTGGTGTTTGTGATAAAGCCTGAAGATTATGCTTGTGGAGGATCTTTCTTCACTCAGGGTAAGAGATAGTGAGGAATATTTGACTATTTAGAAAAACCTGACAGAAGGGAATGGAAGGGAAGCCAAAAGCTCACTTTAGGCCCTTCTGGCCATTTCTAGTTCCCACTAAGGGAGGGTTATCAGCAGTCACTTGGCAAGGCAGTCTGAGAGATTCTTCAGAAAAAATAAAGGGAAGAAAATGATAGATCCAAAGATAGTAGTGATACTACAAAATGTCACTTAGTGCATTTCATCTTTTCCAAATCTTCTGCTCCTTCAGACCATGTGAGGTTGGCGCTTTACTCAACAAATATTTGCTGCTACAAAGTAATGATTTTATACAGTAGACCAAGGTTCATTTTCTAAGATCAGTTTGGCAACCAGAGGTAATAGTCACTTATATTTATCGGTAGTCATCGTTTACACAAGAATGTGCAATTCTTGAATCCCGTTGCCAAAATTGTACCTTGCAAAAGAGTAAGAAAGCAAAGTGAGACGACTTATCTTAATGTTGTGTAAGTTCTGAGGCATAGTACCACTGGTTGTGGGTAACTATCTGGTTATCCAGTAACTACCTAGTGAATGGGATAGGCTGCTGATTGAAAACACAGACACCCAGCAGCTGATGAGCCATATGTGATTATCACAGAGGGTGTTTACTGTTGGTTGTAACATGGTTCCCATGGTACTGAGGTTAAATTTCTGCTTGTGTATTCTTTAATCTCTTAATTACATAGCACTAGAGTTTTGCTAATGTCTGATGTTCTTTGGTAAACTACAAGCCCTTTGATAACTGTTTAAGAAAAAAAAAAATTTCATTGGCCTGAAAATGCAAACCAAAAGATGAGGGAGCTTCCTGTTTTTTGAGGCTGTTTTCTTCAGGCGTCTGTGGCATATTGGGCCACACAGATATCAGGGGAAGGGTCAAGCCTTTTTCATTTAAGAAGGGAGGCTGCAGTCTTGTTCTTGTCAGTTAGTGCTACCAAAACACACCAAAGCAAAGGCCAAATCGAAAGTTTAACCAAAATGGGTATTAGAAGTTTGAAGGTTTGGGGTTAGGTTTCCCTCAGTTCTTGCTAAAAGAAATTTCAGCAACCAGAGTTAATTTTGGACAGTTTTTGAACAACTATTCACATGAGAGGCCAAGAGCTTAGGATCTGATCCATTTTGTCTTGTTCTTTGCCAGAAAAGAAGAACCAGACCTGGAATCTACAACGAACAAAGAACCTTAAAGTGACCATCGTCCCTTCCATTAAAGGTCAGTATTGGCTCTAGAACTCGGTGGAGAGATTCCTGTGTCAGGAAGTCAGTTACATAATTCAATACTAATAGCATCCTTCTGGAGAAACATCATAAAACAAAAACTAATGTTTACTTTAGAAATAGAATAGAAAATCAGAGCAGTTTGTTAAATCCCTTCCGGAAGGAAAGAGAACTCACTTATGAAGTAGTATACAGGAAGCCCCTTCCCAGCTTCCACTGAGAAGTCACCACTGTGAAAGGCAGCCTTTCGTGGATAATGTCTGGGTGATGTCCAGTGGCTTTGTTGCTTTCAGTGGAGATTCGCAGGACTGAGGAACGGGTATGATGGAGATGAGCCCTTGAAGCTGTCCAGTCTCAAACATGATCCTCTCTTCTTCTGAGGACATCCCGACTAAAGTTCTTTCTCTTCCCTCAGAATCTGTTTTTGTGAAATCCATTCTTCTCAGCTTCCTCATCTTTTTCTCCTTCTATTTGGGATGCCTGCTTATTGCATTTGTTCATTATATCAGGTAAGTCAAGAGTTTCAAGAAAGATTAATCCTCTTTACCTATGTTTGCTTAGTAATTAGAGAATTAGACTTTATAACCATATTGACTGGATTCAAATCTACGTCAGCCACTAACTGTGTGACCTTGGGCAACTTGCTTAACCTCTCTGAGTTTTAGCTTCCTCATCTGTAAAATTAAAGAATAATGTACTTCATAGAATAGTATAATTGCAGCGTTTACGTCAATGTTCTGCAAACAGTAAGTGCTGGTAGAGTGTTTATTTTAGCAGGAATAATCTTAACAGAAGTTAGATATTAATAGCAGGAATAATAAGCTTTGATGCTACATTACCAGGTGTTTCTAACTGTCATAGCATCAATTTTCCAATAAAATGTCCCTTGAGAGAAAAAAAAAAAGGAGATAATCGTGCTGTAATTTGACCAAGGAGATTTCCCTTCTCAAGAGTTTGGAGCCCCTAATAAAACGAGCTACAGTTTGCCTCTCTCAGCAGGCCTGAACTCTGAGAATTCTGTATTTGTTGCAGTCTGTGGGAAACAACTACAAAAGAATGGCAGGAGGTTTACAAAAAACACATGTTCTTTCTCCTCTTGAAAGTGTAAAGAAAACAAAAGCCAGCATAGAGCTTTCAGACTATTGGGCGAGATCTTGCAGCTACTACAGTGATACAGCTATCTCAGTGATACAGGCCTACCTCTGACTCAAAACATAACTCCCTTTTGTGACCTTTATGAAGCTTTTCAGTTGAGAAACTAAGTTCAAAAACCCTGGGATTACCATTGGTCATAGTGGGGACAATCTGAGCACAAAACAATTGAGGAGACCAATGAATTATAAATCAATGAGAAAAACAGAAAATCATGAGTCCATATTGATGAAAGAAGGAAGGACTGACCTAAATACCTGCAGATATACATCCAATTAATTCAACAAAGTTACTAAAATCAGACACACATTAGGCAAAGGAGTCATTAGCAAATATTGACAGCAGAAAGGAGGATTTTGTCTATAGCAGAAGGCCAAAAGCTAACGTAAATGTGGAGAAAGTGGTGGAATTGGAAAATCATCATCTTGCGTAGGTCAAGTTAAGAATCATCAGTGGATACTAAAACTAAGAGGAAAATTGGCTGAGGATCAAGATATTTACATAGCCTTAAAGTGTATCCCCACAAATTACTTAGTAGTTATAAGGAGAAAAGTAGTGAAGAATCAGACAATTGACTGGTGATCAAAATTAATATGACCGAGGAAAAAATATGTATATGTGTGCCTCCAGATGTGACATTCTGAGAAAGACACAATATCGCTTATACAGTATTCCAACTAGAAATGCTTATTTCGAATATAATCTTTAAGGAAAAATTAGACAAACTCAAAACGATGATCATTCTATTAAAACATGTAATAAAAGACAAAGAAAGGCTGTGGAAGTGTTCCAGATTGAAGGAAACTAAAGAGAGATGACAACTAAAGACAGTACCTCATCTCAGACTGCATCTCTTACTAGAAGAAAAATATGCTATAAAGGACATTATTGGGTCAATTGACAAAATTGTAATACAGAAAGTAGATCAGAGAAGAGTATCATATCAATGTTAAGTTTGCTGAATTTGACAACTATACTGTAGTTATATAAGAGATTATCTTTATTCTTTGGAAATAATTAGGCATAAAAGTTCATGATATGCAGCTTACTTTCAAATGGTACACACACACACAGAAAAAGAGAGACAGAATGAAAACAGGGTACTATGCTAACGATAAAGGAATCTAGGTAAAGGGTATACAGATGTTCTATATTCTATTCTTATTCTTACAACTTCTCTGTAAAGTTGAAGTTATTTTCACATTAAAAGTTAAAAACAAAAAACCTATAGGCAAATATTATACCTGGAAACTATATACATTAATTATCAGCTCAGTTTATCAGGTCATAATCACTAACATTTAGTAAGGACCTGCTCTGTGCAGAGCTGTCTAAACAGATTATCGCATCTAATGCCGTAAAACAATGGATACCAGTATTATCACCATTCAGCAGTTAAGGAAATTGAGGCATAGAAAAGTTAGCAATTTAACCAAGAATTCAGAGCCAGTAAATGAAGGAGCTGGGATTTGAACCTAGGCAGCCTGGTTCCAGTCCTGATCAAGGAGGCTAGACCAAAAGCCTGGCACCCCAGCATGGATGTAATTGTAAAAAGGTCCAAAAAGCTCACAATTTTGACTCAGATGAGCTTCAATGTCATGGAAAAAGAAGTTTGTCTCTTCTGCCTCTCTTAGGAAGACTGTCTTACTCCCGATGTTTTAGATTTTAGAAAATAGGATTTCATGTCGTTAGTTAGCTAGCATGCATAGTCAACATACAAACAGACAAAAAATTAAGTTAATGGGTAGATATCAACCTCTGTAAAGTTGTCATTCAGCCTACTGAAGTGAGCACAGTTTTTCAAAGTTGTGGTATAAGGCTCTGTTGAAACCTCTAGCCTATAAGATGATTTTGTTACAGTCAATGGCACAAGCAGAGAGTCTTTCCAAATATAGACAAACTGAAAATAAAAATCTGGAGACATAAGAACTATTTGGCATTTGATATAAGGAAATAGACTGAGGAAAAATGCTAACAGAACTCTTCCTTCATTGAACTAAGCAGAAATAACAAAGTTTTCTACAAAACCAAATGAGGCCAGTCCTAGAGCATAATGCCATTTGTCCAGTGAGTCCCCTGTACCTTGTTATTGATACAGGTGGGATTTTCAACACATGCTATTAGATCAGGATGAAAACACTGGTAAGAGAAATGGCCCCTGCCCTCAGGGAGCTAAGACTCCAAAACGTCTTTATGCTGTATTGGCTTGAACATATAACCAAACACCATTCCCTTCCCATCTCCTAGACCCAATTTATGCAACAAGTATTTATGAAGCCTTCACAATGAATGTGCAGACCCTGGGCCAAGTGCCACACACATATTCTCTCATTCATTCCTCTCAATCACCCTGCCAGACATTGAGTTCAATGATCCTGAGTGCTCGTCCTTCCCTTCATTCTTGTATTAGTCATTATTGCCACAATAACGTTGCATACAGCAATAAATATTTAAGTTTTTTCACAAATCTATGGGTCAGCTGGATGGTTCTGCTAATCTGCACCAGACTTTGAGATCTCAGCTGGGTGTAGTCACAGAATGCAACCAGCTGGCAGGTCATCTAGGAAACAGCTCTTCTAGACTACCCTCAGCTGAACTTGATTTCTCATCCCCCAGCAGGCTAGCCCTGGTTTGTTGAATCTCCAAGAGAGATAACAAAAGAGTGCAAGTCTTCCTTAAGATATAGGCTCAGAAGTGGCACAGTATCACCTCCCCCTCATTCTATAGATCAAAACAAGTCATGAGACCAGTCCGGATTCAAGAGTTGAAGATATAGAGTCTACCTTTTGATTGAAGAATACAAGATGAGGTATAGCCATTTAGCAATCACTCTAGCATAATCTCATTTACTTTTTTTCTTTGCTCACTGGAGACTGCCTGCCTCCCTTTAGCTTTGTAAATCACTGAACTCCTCTAATGAAAAATTTTATCAACTCTGAAACCTAGGGCAAATGCGAGTAAAGCCTGTTAACATAAAGACACAATCCAAACAACCATCACCATTAATTTTCATCACCTTTAAAAAGAAGCCCTGAGTTCACTAAGATTACAAGATAAAAGACCAGTAACAAAAATCAATTGTATTTCTATATACTAGCAATGAACAATTCAAAGATAAATTTGATAAAACAATTCCATTTACAATAGCATTAAAAGTAATAAAATACTTAAGTAATAAAATACTTTTAAGTAAATTTAACCAATTACATATAAGACTTGTACATTGAAAGCTACAAAACATCCTAGAAAGAAATTAAAGAGGACCTAAATAAATGGAAAGATATCCCATGTCCATGGATTGAAAGACTTAATATTGTTAAGATGGTGTAATAGACAGAATAATGGCCCCCAAAAGATATCCAGGTCCTAATTCCCAGAACCTAGGAATATGTTACTTTACATGGCAAAAGAGATTTTGCCGATGTGATAGAGTTATGGCGTTATCCTTGATCATCCATGTAGGTGTAATGTGATCACAAAGGTCCTTATAAAAAGGAGGCCAAGGGTCAAAGGCAGAAGGAGGAGATGTGATGATGAAAGCAGAGGATGGAGGAATGCACTCTGAAGATAGAGGAAGGGGCTGTGAGTCAAGGAATGCAGAGCACCCCTAGGAGCTAGAAAGGGCAAGGAAATGGATATGGCCATAGAGCCTCCCGAAGGAATACAGCCGCATAAGACTCATGTTGGAATTCTGACATCCAGAACTGTAAGATAATAAATTTGTATTGTCTAAACCACTTAGTTTCTGATAATTTGTTATAGCAGCAGTAAAATGCATGGCAATACTCCACAAACCAATCTACAGATTCAACACAATCTCTATCAAAGTCCCAGCTGACTTTCTTATAGAAATTGACAAGCTGATCCTAAAATTCATTTGGAAGTGCAAGGAGCCCAGAAAAGGTAAAACAATCATGAAAAAAAGAACAAAGCTAGAGGCCTTATGCTTCCTGATATCAAAACTTAATGCAAAGCTACAGTAATCAAAACTCTGCCACTAACATAAGGAAAGACATATAGATCAATGGAATAGAATTGAGAGTTCAGAAATCAACTCTTATATTTATTGTCAGTCAATTTTTGACAAGGGTGCTTGCTAAGATAATTCATTGGGGAAAGGATATACTTTTCAACAAATGGTGTTGAGACAACTGGGTATCCACATGAAAAAGAATGAAGTTGTACTCCTTCCTCACACCATATAAACAATTAACTCAAAATGGATCAAAGATATAAACATAAGAACTAAATTTATAAAAGCTCTGAGAAAAACATAGGTGCATAACCTTGGATTAGGCAATAGTTTCTTAGATATGAAACCAAAAGCACATGTAACAAAAGAAAAAAAAATAGATAAACTGGATTTTATCAAAGTTAAAACTTTGTGCTTTTAAAAGAAATGATCAAGAAAGTGAAAATACAACACACAAAACTGGAGAAAATGCTTTCAAATCATATATCTAATAAGAGTCTAGTATCCACGGTAAGTATAGATTTCTTATAACCCAATGATAAAAAAAAAAATGTAAAAATGGACAAGGGGTTTGAATAGACATTTCTTCAAAAAAGATATGAATGGCCAATAAGCATATGAAAAGATGGGATATCTTTTCTTAAAACTGTAATGAGATATCACTTTATATCTATGAGGATAACTGTAATTTAAAAAATTAATGGAAAATGACAGAGTTATAAAGAAATTGGAACCTTCTTTCTATATTGCTAGAGAAAATGTAAAATAGTTCCTGCTATGAAGCTTCTGTGAGGCTGCTATGAAGCCAGTTTGGAAAAAAAGTTAGCTATAGACTTACCTAATACCCAGCACTTCTATCCTAGTTATAGACCCAAGAGAATTTAATACACAGATCCACACAAAAATTTAAACACAAATGTTCATAGCAGTGTTATTCATGACAGCCAAAAAATAGAAACAAACAAAATGTCCATCAATAGCAAACAAATAAATGTGATATATCCATACAATGGAATATTATTCACCCATAAAATGACTGAAGTATTGATTTATGTACCATATAGATGAACCTTGAAAATATTATGCTAAGTGAAAAAAAGCCAGTCAAAAAAGACCATGTATAATATAATTCCATTTACGTGAAATGTCTAGAATAAGCAAATTTATAGGGACAGAAAGTACATTAATGGTTACCAGGGCCTCTGGGGGAGTAGAGAACAGGGAGTGACTTCTAATAGGTTTGAGATTTCTTTAGGATATGAAATGTTCTGGAATTAGATATTAGTAATGGTGTGCAACTTTGTGAACATACGAAAACTCAGTGAATTGTGCACATTAAAGGGTATGTGAATTTTATGGTATGCGAATTATCTGAAAATAAATGAATCTGAGAATAATTGATGAATTTGTGTATGTATGTAATGCCTAGGAGTAGAACTGCTGGATCATATGGTAACTCTATGTTTAACTGTTTGAGGAGCTGCCAAACTGTTTCACTAAATGACTATTTTACAATCCCACCAGCACTATGTCAGAATTCCAGCTTCTCCACATCCAAAGGCCTATTTTTAAGAGATCTAGCAGACATATCTGCAACAAAGTCTATGGAGAAAAAATGTAAAATCCTGAGATTTTTGCTGTCTTGGGAGCATTTCTATGTACTTCTTTTTTTTTTTTCCTTTGCAGGTTTCAGAGAAAATCCATCAATGGAGGCTTTGGTTCCAATGATGGTAAGAAAAATCCCTGGTTTCACATCAAAATGATGTCACGTATATGGTAACATCCCATCTGGTACTTCTTTTGTCTCTCTACCTTTTGTAATTTTCAGACCCTCCCTTGATTCCTATCCCCTAGAGTAGTCTAATCTGTAGTCTTTCTACAGAAAGCAGAGCTCAGTGAGAACCAATTTTTATAGTTGATAATTACTGACATATGGAGCTCACCCTAAGAACCTTTGCTTGGTTTTTGCAATTATCCACAGCCCATTTGTCAGCCGTTCATCTTTTTTTAAGGTTTAATCTTTTCTAGGATATAAATTATTCATACCTATCTTATCCCAAAGCTGATTTGTGAACAATATTAAAAATTTATAGTGTTAACTCTAATATAGAGTTTACTTTTTCCCAAATTGAGATGCAGGCTTTTTGTTCAAGTATCTAGATAACTGAACTATTTGAAATTAGCAAATATAATAAAGAGTATTAATAACTTTTCAAATTCAGAGTAATTGATTATCCATCCATTGTAATATGCCCTTTCCTCCACTCATAGGGTTTGAACAAAGGAATTCAATTGCCTGACTTTTTTATCAAAAAAATTTTTTTAATTAAATGTCTATTTTTTAAATTAAGATATTATTGATATATAACATTGTATAAATTTCAGGTGTACAACATAATGATTTGATATTTGTGTATTTTGTAAAATGATCACCCCCAATAAGTCTAATTACCATCCACTATCACACATAGGTACAAATTTTTTTCTTGTGATGAGAATTTTAAGATCTCTCTTAGAAACTTTCAAATATACCATACAGTGTTATTAACTATAGTCACCATGTGTATATTAATTACATCCTCAGGTCTTACTTGTTTTAAAACTGGAAGTTTATACCTTTTGTAACTGTTCTCATTTATGAAAAGCTTAAATCAGCATGAGTTACATAGTACTTACAAGCCGTTGGGCATAGAGTGATCATTTGGAAAAAGAATGATGAAGTGAGACTTGATTTTTAAGTCACAAGCAGCAGATGTTTAGTTTTGTGTTTTCTACATTTAAATGAACTCACAGAATCTTAGAAAGACACAAACTGACCCCCTACCCCTCCCAGCAGGAACATTTCTCCCTGTTGCTTCTCCTCTCTTCCTTTGACTTTTGTCCTCCTTAATGTCAGCATGTCTATATTTCTAGCCACCAGCAAATTTATTTTAATAACATTCAATTGCCAGTATGAAAGATTGTAAAAGGACACCTGCTCTACTGTCTTTAAAATGCTAAGTACTATTTTCCCTTTTAATCATAAAATATTTAAATAAATTCTTCTTTTCTCTGGATCTCATCTTTTTCCCTCCAGGGCCCCCAGGTTTTACTCTTATTTTAGGCCTGCTTGAACTTAGAAAAGTGGATTGGTTGGATCCCATTGGTGCTCTGTGAATGGATGGTCTGCTATTTTTATTGTATGAATGAAGTCATTTTATTATTGTATTGATAATTAAAGGAACACCATGTTCATAAGGCTCTCCTGAACAGTACAGCATAAATGGACAGAGCTGGGACTTGAGCCAGATGATTGTCCAAGATCAAGCTGGCTCTGAAAATTAGCTAAGAGCTAGAGGCACCCTTCAGATCGTAAGAAGAAATGAATACATAACCAAAAGAAAAGGAGATAAAAAAGAATAACAAAATGCATCGATTAGGATTCATGTGGCTGCAAGTAACAAGAAAATACATCTGAAACGTGCCTAAACTATAGAGACTCCTCTCCCTGGAAGTTGAGCGGAGGGTAGGCTTCAGGATTGTCAGGTGGCTCTTGTCCTTTTACCTGCCATTCCCTTGGCTCTACTTTGTTCCCAGTGCTGGTGATGAGATGGACCAGGGTTATCCTGTCACCTGACAATGTTCAGAGAGAAAGACTTTTTCAGAAACACCCAGCAACTTATTCTTATTTTATTGGCCTAGAGTGGATTGTATGCTTATTATTAAATCAGTCACTCCAAAAGAATAATTTACCTACATATCCATCAAGCCCACTTATAGAATTAGGATGAGGTCATCTTTCTCTAATACCAGGGTTTCTCAAAACCCACATTAATTGACACTGTAGGCCAGATAATTGTTTGTTAAAGGGGCTGTCCTGTATATTGTAGGATGTTTAACTACATCTCTGACTTTTACCTACTAGAGTCCAGTAGTGCACTTCTTCTTTATGACAACTAAAATGTCTGCAGACACTGACAAATGTCACTTTGGGGGCAAAACAGTCCCTTGAACTCCAGTTGAGAATCACTGACTTAAATATGTGTGCTGCCAGGCATAGGTGAGGATACCTAAACAAAATCCCAACTTAGTTAAGAAGTAGGGAATAAGGGAGGAAATAAGGAACCTTTGTAATGCAGAGAGGCTTCAGAGAAAGATGACAGGACCTCAGAAGTCATATGACTACTAGTGAGGCAAGACTTAGATGATTTAAAAGAAGAGCAGAGAAGACAAGCCTGGCCCAAGAAAAAAACTAGTTAGCGACTCTTTTAAGCATGTCAGGCAGAGCATCGAGAAGCCAGCTTGGAGCAAAACAGGAGCAAGTGAGGGACCTTATCAGAAAGCTAATGTGAGACATTCAGGGAGCAACCTTTGGAGAAGAGCAGGATTCAGAATGTCATTCTCTCCCAGGAGCCAGGATCTGTGTGACCGGGAGGCTATAAGAAGTTCAGTGGTGCTCAGAGCTACAGGAAATGCCTTGGGGGTTGGTGCCTAGAAAAATACTAGGAACAGTGTCTGAAAAGGAAAGAGAATCCCGCTAGACTTGCCATGGTGTCTGCCCAAACCAAGATGGAGCTAGACATCTGAGGAAGTCAGCCTAATGCTTTCACTGTAGGTATAATTGAGGTGGAAGAGATGGGTCCGGGTCCCTAAAAGGTGAAAAATTTGGAAAAATTGTCGGCGGCTCCTCGGCATTTGTTTTTTTGGGGTTTTTTGGGAGTGGATTTGGGTTTTTTTTTTATTTGTGTGCAGTTCTTTAATTTGTATTTGAAAAATGTCAACATTGGCTCCGACTACACTAAAAAGAGAAAGAACTTCTTTTACATTTCATGGGACAAAGAAGTAGATGAGATTCTGGAACCCAAGTGAAGTGGAAATAGTGTTGGTAAAGAGCTGCTTCAGTCCTTGAAGGGACTTTTTTCCTGTGGTGCGAATGAATGGACACTGTATGCTCCATTCACCACTTAGTAGTTAAGACAGGGGCCTCTGTGGTAATCTGAGGAGTACTAGGAAAGGCTCTGTGCTCTGAAATAATTTCTTCCTCTGGCTCTATTAGTGGAGAAAACCCTCATTTCATATTATTGTTAAAGAGCCTGTACAGAAATTTATTTATCACCTGGGAAGAGAAACAAGTGAAGCGTGCCTTGTAGGTCCCGGGGACCTATGAGCTGTCACCACAAACCTAGGGTGCAGCATAAGAGAAGGTTACTTTTTCAAGTGAGAGAGCTTGATAAACCTGACAAGTTTTGTTGATTTAAGAACCAAATGGCCAATCAAATCCTTTCCTGGATAGACCTGTTATTAATCAGCCTCTTAGCAAAGAACAGGGTCCAGAGGGCATAAGGCAAGCTGTGTGCTGGGCTTGGAGGAGTTTAGAAGCACAGGCCATCATCAGGCTCTGGGGCAGTGGGTCTCAAACTCTTGTCCTGACTCTCTACTCTTCTTTTTCCAAAATTCCTCAACTTTTCTGACCCCATTTTTTCTTCTAGAGAAATTTTTTTATCCCTCTGCAAAGATTAGTGGTTTTCTTCATTTTTCTCCTCAACTTTTGAAACAAAACATGAAACTGAGGGGAGTATATAGCCAATTGGCATAAAAATGAAATTTCATGGCAGCTAGTTCACCTCATTTCTGACTCTCTCTTTAGCTTCCAGCCTCCTGAGCCCACAGACAAAAGGGGGCAGGACACTTACAAATATGAAGTCCCTGAAAGATCCAAACATGCTCAAAATGAAGTTTTTCTCCTCATATAGAGCATCTAACACAAAAAGCAAGCATGCAAGCATATCCTTTCTATGTTAGTAAAGTAGACAGATGGCAAGGGGTTCATGCTCAGGGAAAAACATACCAGAACAAGTTAGATAAGCTCATTCACAATCTTATATGTTTGCTTATTTCCAGCCAGAACATCTTGGTCTGTCCTATAAACTAATATTTTTGTGTTTAATTCTGCTTTCTAAATACAGTTAAGAATAAATACAGCTGCCTTCTGGGACCACTGATCATACTTGAAGTTTGAGAAAAAATGCTTTGGTTTTTGCATTCTAAGAAGCCTTAGACATAAGAAAAATTAACAGAATGCTGTTATCTCATGTTGGCTAATCTCCTATTTAAATTGTGCCTATAAAAGTCTACGGAGTTCAAATATTTGTCTGTGCTAGCAATTGTATTGCTCATGAAAATCTCGATTTTCTTATCCATCATAGAACCACCAGTGTTGCGGTTGCCTCAGAATAAATAGGGCTAGCAACATCAAAACCTGATTATGCTCAATTATGAGCCAGAGCAGAGTGCAGAAATCAGTGATACATCAAAATCTGAACAGACCTACATAGCTGGCTCTTTCTTTTTAACAAAGCTGTTGCCTAACAAAACAGTGATTGGCTTTGTTTTCTCGCTTGCATTGATTTTAGTTTTTTTCTCTTTTGATTACACGCGCACGCACGCACACGACATATTGGCTCCCACGAACCATTTCAACCTCCTGCCACAACTAAACTCAAGCATTTTCCTATGCACACTTCTGCTTCCCTTATCACAAGACATGGCTGTAACACCAAAATGCCAAAAATTGGAGGTTTTATGATTTTGGTGTCATTCTTCACTTACTATTTGTAGATTTAATATTTTTAAAAATTAAATCTTAAATAATGAACAGACATTAATGGTTAAAAATAAGGAGCTTAAGCTTGAAAAGAAAAAAATGTGTAAGAGACTGAGAGAAATGTAAAAGAAAATATTACTGGGAATGAGACCAATACAGTGGTTTCTTTGAGACTCCCCACAATGAACTAGACAGGAAAAAGACATGAGCATGACCCAATAGAGAATCATTGGCAAGCACAGCAACCAACCTAAAAAGCAAAGGTTGTGCTTAGATACTTCTTTAAAAATATGAGTTTATGATAGTGGAGAGACAAACGAGTCTCAACTTCCTTGTCTCTTTTGAGCACTCCATGAAAGTAAAATGCTTACTCCCAGTTATTCATATTTTGAAGGGAAAATCCTTGTATTTTTTTTTTCAATTAAGTAGGTACATTTTAACTGAGACCAATACAATGAGCCACTATTCATCCACTATCTTATCAATTACTTGAGTTCTCAGGGCTTCCCTTTCGTCACCTTTAAAATGGTGATAACCATATAGGGTTGTTGAAAATTTTAAATTCTTATAAAGAACTCAGAAGGGTAAGTTTTCAATAAACATTAGCGAGCAATGGGGATAGTAGTAGCAGCCGCAGTAATCGTAACAGTAGCATTAGTAGTAGTAGCAATAGTAGTGGTGGCGGTAATAATATTAGTACTCATTATAGTCGATAGTAGCAGCAGCAGAGAAACAAGCAGCAACCATATGCTATAACTATGACCAAATCTGTCCTAAGTCAAAAAGAGTCAGTCAAATTGTAGGCAACATCTTCCCATAATACTACTGTTATTGTGCTCAAAAGGTTTTATCTCTCATACTTAAGAGTCTGAAAATAACCTTTTTATTTGCCTTGAAATTGGATGAAAAGAATAGATGGTTTTGATACCATGTTACATATTTATGGATGAGCCAAAGTAAGGAAAGAAATTGAGTCTCTAAGGTCATCAGATTTGTCTCTCATCAGCAGGCGAAATATTTTGAACTTGATATTTAATTATTTTTCTTCACGGAGGAAATGAATGGACATAGAAAAAGTAAAACACATGATAAAGCCTACAAAGTTGCTTTGCAAAACCAAATGTTTTTACTGCCCACCAGTGGGAATGAAATCTGAGAGCCAGAATAAGAGAATTGACTGTGACAAACAATGAATTGTTTGAGGCTTTTGGTTCCTTTACATATGTGATGCACTGTGGCATTAATGTAAAATATAATGAACCATATTTTCAATGAAGAGATGAAAATATATTTATGTATGTATTTATTTATTTATTTATTTAATGAGAATAGTAAAGAATATTCTCAATTATGTATCTCCACTGAAAATACATTCCCCTGCAATATACAAGAGATTGACAAGTTAACTCACAGACTTTTTTGCCTGTATTGTGATATAAGCAATTTCACCTCTCAGAAAGAAGATTTCAATAAGAAATTCCCACCAGCCCGACAATAACCCAGATCCAGGGTAAAGCACAGAAGGCAGTGGAAAAACGTTCTTGTGCACCTCCACATGAGTGTGGTTCCTGAAAAATAGTGGCACTAAGTCAGAGTCAGAGAAACTGCCCAGATACCTGCTTATCTGTGGTTTCTGCTCTCTTTATTAAGCATCACCCAACTTTCACAAATAGATAAACTCAATGGGATAGCGTCTTGCCTAATAACCAATGAGAAGATTGGGAGACATTTTTCTCCAATGCTTGTGGTAGGGTGGTTCCAGATGACACCCCCAGACTCCCAGAAGAATGACTCCTCACCTCCCCCCCATTATGAGGAGTGCTAACTTGGAAAAGTTTGAGGAACACTATCTTCACATCTATTTTTCTCTCATAGCCAACAACGATTTGACAATAGATACGCCTATTCTATCTCCTAAATATCCCTCAGGATAACCAATATTCCTCCACATCCTTGGTTTGTGTTGTCATCATTTATTGCTCCAAGGAGTGCAGTAATTTCCTTCCTATCTACGCTTATTCTGCCTATAGTGAGGGTATTGCTAACTGGTATAAAAAATAAACCTCCAAATTATAGTATTTTAATCATAAAAGTTTATTTCTGGTGTTTCTATTCAGTGGTGGCCTTCCTCACAGTGATTTCAGGACCTGTGCTCCTTTGTTCTTATAATTCTGCAACACCATCAGGCAGGAATCAGAAATTTCTTTTTTCTCTAAAGTGCCAAATAGTAAATACTTCAGGCTTTTCCAGCCATATAGTCTCTGTCACATCTGCTCGATGCTGCCAATCCAATGTAGCCAAAAGCAGCCATAGACATACCCAAATGAGAGGGACTATTTCACGAGATATATATGAATTTATATCATTATATATGAATACTGAAATTTGAATTTAATATAATTTTTACTTCTCGTGAAATATTATTATTCTTGTGATTGTTTTCCCCAACCACTTAAAAATTTATAAACCATTCTTAATTCAAGGACCACACTAAAAGAATGTGGCAAGCTAGATTTGCCCTGCAGGTCATAGTTTGGTGACTCCTGTATTAGAGTGAAAAGAAAATCAAATGTAAAATATTGTAGCCTGATGATTCAAACTGCTAAGAGTTGTGTTCTTTTGTTTTAGAAACTGGACATAAAGTGTTTGTCTCTTTGCTTTTCTTTTTAACAGGATCTGGAAATATGGCGGTATCACATCCCATTGCTGCCAGCACACCTGAAGGGAGCAATTATGGGGCAATAGGTATTTCCTACAATGAGTTCATTCATGGAAGTGTTTCCTAATTCTCCGGAGAATTAGGAGAATTCCTAATAACTGAGAGAGTGGGCAAGGCAGTCATTACATAAGATTGCACTGTCTTTATAAAATAAATTGGTTGGATAACCTAGAATGTTCCTTCTAATTCTAACTTTCTCCACATTTACTGTTGTTTCTTGAATCTGCTAGCCTCGAGTAGAATTCCTTGCAATGGTTGCCATCAACACCCAAGACCCCCATCGGGTTTTTTTTTTCATACCCAGCCTGACTTTAGGACATAAAAGGTGTGTCAAAGTCTGATATCAGGGAGCCCAGCCACAAATGACCAGTTGTTTCATTCTCAGGTTTCAGTGGAGTAAGTGTGATCAGAAGACTAAGGCTGTGCTGCAGGTGAACATGGCTAAAGCCTAACAATCTTTCATTCAGGCTAACTTCATAATTGAACCTGCTCACTGCCATACGGTCATTCACATAGCAACCCCCAGTGTTCATTAAGTGGCCTGAAAGGAACAGAATTCCTAGCCCTGTCTTCTTAGAGCAGGAGTGCTTTGATGTTTGTACGCACTTCCATGATGCTTATGGGCCTACGAATGATGCACCTTAAAATGTCAGTGTAGAGGAACTTGGAATCCTGTATTCCTGCCCTATTATTATATAACTTTGAGAAGCATGTGGGCTCCGTGCAGGCAACTTATTTCTGTCTCTGCCAGAACAGGGTTTTTTTGAGTTTTTTTTTAACCATCTGAACAGAAGAAATAAAGCAGAAGGTAGCCTCGGCTCATGTGCTCATCAAGCTGCACAAATTCCCATCTGCTCTGGGAAACATTCACAGGAACACAAGGCTTCTTCTCCCTGAGAATATTGTTTTTGTTATGTAATCGTAGATGTGGCATGTGGGGGATTTCCGTATACAAATACTTCATCCATAGCCATGAAAGCTGCTGGATATGTGTGTGTTTACATGTATGTGTGGTAGGTGCCATACATAACTACTTGCATGTGTATGTTTATATATTTATGTTCATATTTTAAAATATGAAAAATGAAATATAGCATATTATTTTTGCCTCTAATAGTTAACAGAGCAGATGTCTGTATATTAATACATATTCAGCCTTAGAAATAGACAATATAAATATAAAAATAGGAGGAGAAGAACATTAAAAATCTGTTGAGGAGGAATTGAGAGAAAAATCATGTGTCGTGGGTAAGGAGTTAGTTTTTGCCAACACAACATTTTCGAGAATGAGTCAGCATAGTGCTTTTTGCAGAGAAGAATGGGCTCCATGGGTTCTTCTTGGCTTTGGAAGGCAGATGAGTGTTCTCTGTTTCAGATGAGTCAAACTCCAGTCCTGGCAGGCAGATGTCCTCCTCTGATGGTGGGAAGCCATGCCAGTCTGACACAGACAGCTCTGTGGAGGAAAGTGACTTTGATACCATGCCAGACATTGAGAGTGATAAGAATATCATCCGGACCAAGGTACCACTGCCTGGACATACTCTCTAAAAAGGGCAGAAAATTCAAAAGCTGAATACAACTTTAGCAATGCCTTAGTTTCCTTTATTTTTTTTCTCTCCCTTTAAGAGAAGTGAAATTTCTCAGAGGGTTTTTTTTTTAACTTAATTTTATTATTAGTTTCATGTACACAGTTTGATATTTATATAGTTTATAAAACAATCCCCCTAATTGCTCTTTCTCTCCTCTAGCTCTCCACCTAGCCATTACATACAGCTGACTGCATTCCATATGCCATGCTCCCCATCTCCATGAACATCTATCAACTACTAATTTGTACTTCTTTAACCCTTTACCCCTTTCTCCCAGACTCCTAACCCCGCTCCCCTCTGGCCATCACCAGACTGTCCTCTATATTTGTGAGTCTGTTTTTGATTAGTTTGTTCTTTTTGTTCCTTAGCTTCTGCATATAAGTGAAATCATATGGTATTTATCTTTCTGTCTGACTTATTTCATTCAGCACAATAACCTCTAGGTTCATCCATGTCGTTGTGAATGGTAGAATTTCATTTTTTTAATGACTGAGTAATATTTCATTGTACATATGAACCATAACTTCTTTATCCAATCATCTGTTGATGGACATGTAGGTTGCTTCCATATCTTGGCTATTGTAAATTGTGCTGCCATGAACACAGGGTGCATAGATCTTTATGAATTATTGGTTTGGTTTTCTTCGTATAAATACCCAGAAGTGCAATTGCTAGGTCAAAAGATATCCATAGTGGCTGTACCAATTTGCAATCCCACCAACAAAGTATGAGGGTTCCCTTTTCTCCACATCCTCACCAACACTTGTTGTTCCCCAGAGGGCTTTTTAGATAAAACATAACTACACACTAAGAGCAGTACCCTAATTGGCATTTTTTTCTGGAAGAAGAAAATGAGAGCGTTAAAGAGAACAGTGTTAAAACACTCTCAGGGTTTGAAGTGGCTCCTGCGGACATTAAAAGAGGAAAGGATCCAACCAGATGGAAGAAAAGATTCATTGAGGGGTGTACCTAGAAAGACCTTCTGGATCTTTACGTATCATCCTTCAAAAGTAAAGCTTGTTTCTTTCTGGCATATATTTTTTATATTGTGTTCATATCCAGTAAAAGATACGAAAGTGAATTGCATGGTTTCAATTTTATAATTCAGGAACCACACAGTGGGCATCGCTGAAAACTGGGAAACCAGTTCTTGAGCTATAAGAAGTATTCGACGCCCAAGAGTTTTCCCACATCAGCCAATCTTTAATATTCCAAAGGAAATACTAGGATTTTCATTAAGGTATCCTGGGAAAAGCAAAATTAAAAGAAAAGTCTTGTTAAATAATGTTAATCTCTAGCGAGAGATGGAATTGAAATTTGTAAAGCTGTCCTTTGTCTCTTATGCAAAAAAAGCAAGTACGGTTGTGCATTCTCTTTTTCTTTGTCGTCGCAGATGTTCCTTTATCTGTCAGATCTGTCCAGGAAGGACCGGAGAATTGTCAGCAAAAAATATAAGATTTATTTTTGGTGAGTAGATGACCAGCAGGACCATAGTTATCTTTAGTAAAATTAAAGTTTTCTTTGTATAATTCAGTCACTGATGTCACAAGTTTCAGTGTTTAATGAGGTACAGGTATAGGTGTTTCAAGGATCCATTCCGTATTTCATAGGAAAAAACAAAAATAAACTACAAAAGGTAACCAGCCCTAAATGAAATAAATACAAATCAAAATAAGAATGGTAGTAGAACCCCATGAGTTTAGGGAGTACACTGAATCCTCTTCTAGAAGGATAACGTAACGATGACATTAGTGTAACTACCTTCCCTGAGGCACACTAAACTACAGCCACTCCCTCTTTTCCTCACCAGGTCCTGCTCTTGGAAGAAGCAGTGATTTCAGGGACTAGGTGCCTGGAGCACCTCAGAGTAGCAGGAAACTATCCTAAGAGGAGATGATACCACCAGCCAATGATAAATAGACCTGCGATAGTCAAACACACAGATGCAGCCTCCCTTCAAGCTGAGAGTCTGAGTTGCCTGGCAGGGACCCCTCCCTCCTGTCAGAAACCCTAAGCTGACACTGTGACAGCCCTTCCCATTCTTTTCTCTGGAAGGATGCCCTTTAATTGGATACAGATATTAGAGGAAAACAAGAAACAATGGGGACCACATGGAATTTCATAGTGGGACCATCATTTTGGAACTACGAGGTATCTAAGAGAGTCGCATCCCTTCACGTGATCCATCTCTCAATACTTAACACTCTGATCGCTTTTAATCTAACAGCATCTTTAAGAGATAGGCTCTCATTAGTAATTTAGTTAAACCAGAGCAAGTATTATTTACACTGTTTTACAAATGACTGGAGAAACAGAAACCACATAATGTTTCTAATTGCTTTTGCAAGTTGACTAGGGAGTCATGGGGTGGAAGCATTCTTTTTTTTAAAAATGAGCAAAGATTCCATTGTTAATTTGGAAATAACTATTTCCTGTCCTTTCTGCCTGCATAGGAACATTATCACTATCGCTGTGTTTTATGCACTACCTGTGATCCAGCTGGTCATCACCTACCAAACAGTAAGTGCTGCCCTGAACCCCAGAATCCAAGCTTCACACTGCAGGGAGAGATCTTTGTTGTGACTTACAGAGAAAGGTATAACTTGGGATAGGTCCAAGAATTGATTTCGCACTTGGGTTCCAATTGGACTTCTCTATTGCTTCATCGTTGACTGACCTTTAAATCTAGTTCCTAATTGTTTTATCACAGAGGGACCTGGAACCTCTTGAATTATTTTGTCTACCAATCTGAAATTATTACCTTGCACTCGTTTATTCATAGTACCTATCAATTGTGTCTATTATTTACCAGTCTGAACTTTTGAACATTATGGAGTAATGAGTAAATAAAGTTCCAGACCAAAACAAGGAAATCTGATGTCTAATTTAGCCTGTGCCCTCTCATTAAGGGGAAATATTTTTTTGTAAAAGTAAAAACAGCTTCACAAAGGTAATAAAATATTAAAATTTTAAAAACCTAAAATACACACTAGAATAAAGAAAAAATAGTAGTCAAAACAGCTTGAGAATCCTCACCACTCCCTGACCCTAGGGTCCAAGTCACTTAAGTGACCTTCTCTAAGATTTATTTTATATGTGGAAGCCCATTTAGAACAGCATGAGGCTGAAAGTATTTCTAATGCAGTGGCTTTCAAACTTTGCTATGCATTACTATCATCTGGGGAATTTTTTAAAATCCCAGTATCCAAGCTGTACCCCATAGCAGTTAGATCAGATTCTCTGAGAGTGAAACCAGGCATCGGTATTGATCAAACTCCCAATGATTCCAAGGTACAACCATGTTTGAAAGCCAATAATCTAATAATATTTAGCCAATTCCATACTTATTACACGATGAGGAAAAGGACTCTATGAGGTTTGAGAGCCACAGTTTATAATCTAAATATTCTCTGAATACTTTGGGGCCTTGTCAGAAGATATGGATTGTTCTGTGGTCTAGGAAGGTTTCTAATGACAGAGATGGTCATAAATATGGAAAACTGAACACCCATGTTTTCATGTCTACCTGCATGGGTATCATTCCCATGCAGAAGATGGGACAGCTCCATATCCTCCTAGCATTCATCTAGAAAATAGGATGTATCATGACAGTCCTAATAGTCAGGTTCCAATGTCAGCATCCTTTCACACTCCTTTTATCATGAGAACAAAGGAAACTTAGTTGAATTCTATCTTGAAGCCATTTAATGGAAGACACAGAATATTTCAATTCAAAGCAAGATGGTAGAATTTAAAGGAAATGTGCCTATGCTGTGTAAAGGTAGCAGATAATGACTCAGCCCTGTTGAGGTGCTCTGTAAATTACTGACAGTGTGTATCACTGTGAGCAGTGTCTGCTTTGTGTGATTTCAGGCTGAGCTCAGGGAATGGAGAAAAACTGCATCTCCTCTTCTCGCTCTTGATTTTGCAGGTGGTAAATGTCACTGGCAACCAAGACATCTGCTACTACAACTTCCTCTGTGCTCACCCCTTGGGTGTCCTGAGGTAAGTGCAGTCCTCTGGTCGCCCAGGCGGCGTTTAGAGATGCCTTTCTGTGTAATGTTGTGATATCTGTTTTTAAAAATACTAAAAACATCTGTGGAAAACTACCCCAGTCAAGGATAAAGAGGAATAAAATCAAGAAGTTGAGATCAGGTGTGCTTCTTTCATTCCTGCATAAGGCCTCAGGGAACATTCTTAAGAATAATCTGCTGAGAAGAGGGCAGGGCTGTTTTTTTAAAACATCAGGTCCCTATCTGTAATGGCATTCATCCATGGGTATGAGCTGCTAGTACATTCAATCCGTTAAACAATCTCATGTGAAAGATAGTATTATTATTAACATCCCCCTTTTTAGATGAAGACACTAAGGTTTAGAAAAGTAAGGCCTTGCTGAAGGTCCCTCAACTGTCAGTGATATTCGAACTTGAACCCATGCTCGCTGCCTCCAAGGCCATGCTATAGCCACCAGAACACGGTACAGTGGAAAGAGCATTTGTCTGAGAGTTGGGAGCCTGGCTTCTTGTTTCAGAACTGAACTAGCCGCAGTTTCCTGAATGAAAGCCAGTGGCTGTAACCCGCTGACAGTTATCCTGAAATTCATAGTTACAGAGCTGAGCACTGACACAATAATAAGAAATAAGAAAAGTACTACTAATGAGCACCAGTACAGTACAGGAACTATACTTCCAACTTCCATCTATAAGACTTCCCTCTCACCGTGTAGCTGAAACACTTGGCCAAACTACTCACCTTTGGAGTGGCCTTCTCAGGATTTATTCCATGCCAGTGCCATTGGGACCCCAGAGAATTGGGAAAGTTAGAGAAGAGAAGTGGGCATCCTGAGAAGGAACAAACACATTTCACAGGCTAAGTACTCAAAAATGAAAGGTTAAAGATGCTCTCTGATGATTCTCCAGTCTCAAAATCTTATGAAAAGGTTAGTGGTGGAAAACATGGAATGCTGAGTTCTTTCACTAATTTGTGAATTCATTCTCTGAATCTCTTTGATTGCCTGACTCTCATGGTTTCTCTCTCGCCCCTTTAGTGCATTCAACAACATTCTCAGTAACCTCGGCCATGTGCTCCTGGGCTTCCTCTTCCTTCTGGTAGTCTTGCGCCGGGACATTCTCCATCGAAGAGCCCTGGAAGCCAAGGACATCTTTGCCATGGTGAGAAGAAGGTGGATAAATCGGAAGTGGGAGCTGGGAGGGGTTATGATTCCAAACAGGATCCACAAAGAAGAGGGACATCTGGCTTGATGGTGTGATGATGGACTATGATGCTTGAGGCCAGAAGCTTGGGCATCCAGATTCCATGGCTGTCACTCACTGGTATCTTTCTATTGACCATGCTGTCTCCTTTTTCAGGAGTATGGGATTCCCAAACACTTTGGTCTCTTCTATGCTATGGGCATTGCATTGATGATGGAAGGAGTACTCAGTGCCTGTTACCATGTCTGCCCTAATTACTCCAACTTCCAATTCGGTAATTAGAATTTATATCAACTACACAGATTTGAGTTATAGGAGTCTTGTCCTGGGATCCTCCCAAAAATGCCAAGGTTATACTTGCAAGAATTAAGTGACATTTTACATGAGCTGAATGATCTGAGGACACCTCATCCGAGGGTATGTTTTCTACATATTGTACCATTTTTCCTCTCTGACCTCCTTTCAGACTAGAAAACTCTCAACACTGAATGATGACCTCATGGCTAGATCTGCACCTGGGCCATGGGGTAAGCATTGGGCAGCAAGTCGGATAGAATTCACAAACAACATCTGTATAGATCCTTCAGTGTTATTTGGCCTAATTTAGCAGTTAGACTGCTTTGAGATGAAATTAACAAAAAAGCCGATTGAAATTGGATTAAATAATAACAACATTTATCAGTTTACCATCTGAAACTCCAGAGGTAGAAAGGACTTATGGTTGGTTTATCTGGTGGCTCTGGCTCTACTACTCACATCCCTTCCTTAAGCCTAGCCTGCATGTTGCTTTTATGCTCAGGCTATCAGGGAACACATGGTGGCAAATATGGCCACTGCAGGTTCTGGCTTCCTATCTCCAAACAACAATGTCTGGAAGACACAGCAAGCTGGCTTCCAACAGCCTTCATTTAAGAGCAAGGAAATTTCTTTTCCAAACTCCCCCAGATAATGTCCCCTCATACCATAAACAATAGCATAAACAGTCATGAGCCCATTCCAGAATCATTGCCATGTGCTGGTTAGCTCAAGCCGAGATTGCTACACCAATTGCAGTGGCAAAGGAGATGGTATTACTTCTAGACCAGGGATCTCCAACCCCCAGGCCACAGACCAGTACCCATCCGTGACCTGTTAGGAACTGGGTCGCACAGCAGGAGGTGAGCGGTGGGCAAGTGAGCGAAGCTTCATCTGTATTTGCAGCCTCTCCCCAGTGCTAGTAGCATTACCACCTCGGCTCCACCTCAGATCATTAGACATTAGATTCTTATCAGAGCACTGGTCTCTGGCGCCAAAAAGGTTGGGGACCACTGTTTTGGACCCATCCCTAGAACCAGGAGTGGAGCGAAACTTCTGGAAGCAAATTGGCAGGAAGGGTGTGTGTTTCTGAATTGAAAACAGGACCAAGACATCTGAGTTAGTACCGAGATGCTGTCAGGAAGGAAGAAGGGAAGAGCCGACTCTGACAGTCGGCAGCTCACACTGTCCTCCTCACTCAAGTATAAGGATTTTTAAAACAGTCATTTTTATGTTTGTGCTCTAGCCTCTGCCTGTTAACTCAGAACACCACAGAAATTCTGTCATATTTTAATATTTTAAAATTAGAAAACAGTTTTAATAAAGATATTTGTAGAGAACAATATTATTCACCACTCCATACACAAATGCCAATATTTAAAAATACTTGCCTTAAATCTACTTTTTAAGAAATAAAACATCGTATAATGTTGAGGTCCTGTTTTGAACTGCTTTCCAAATTTATTCCCCTCTTTCCTTCCCAAAAAGAAATAATAATCATTTCATAATCATAATCATAGGAATCAAATGAATAATTATGGTCATTAACTATGATTAATTTGGTATTTATCCTTCCAGTTTATTTTTATAGTTTTACTACATTCGTAGAAAATTAATATTAATTTATCACTCTGTATTCTGCAACCTTCTTTTTTCATCCAGTAATATGTTTTTAAGATTTATCAGTATTGAATCAAGGACAGTTAGTTCATTTATTTTTAAGGACTGTCATATTCTGTACTAAAAATTTACCACATTTATCAACGTTTCTATTGAACAACATTTAGATGTTGCCAATATTTTGCTATTACAGACAGTGCTGCAGTGAATATCCTTACGTATGGCTCTTGTACATGTGAAAGAGGTTCCCTAGGATACCTAGAAGTAGAATTTGGGGGTCACCTGCAATGGAAGATATGCATCTTCTTCTGTTTTACCAAAAACTGACAAGTTTCTCTCTGGAGTATTAATTCCCACTCCTGCTAGCTGTGTGAGAATTCCCGTTGCCCCACATCATCACTAGCATGTGTTATTGTCGGACATTTAAATTCTTAATTTTTTAGTAACATGGGGCATTGCATCGTTTTAATTGCATTTCTGTAACTCGCATGCAGCTAAACCATGTTCAATTTCTAGCTGTTTTCCACCCCTAGGATATAGAGCTATATAAGAGCAGTAATCAATGTGGTTATATTTCAGGATGCTGAGAAGGACCTCCAACACCCACCTAGGATTCATTTTATTGTCACACTGCCCTAACTGTCACCGCTGGACTTCTTTAGTCATTGTTGTTGAACACCAGCATTCAAACGCAAATACTTCTGCAAGTGGGGATAGTCAATTAATTATATATCATATCATCAGATACTTTCCTCCTGTGAACTAGGAACAGCCTTGGAGGGGTTCAGAAGTGGAGTATGTGGGATTTGCCTAAGCACGTGCCTGGGGAGGAAGGCATGTTGAAGGTCTCCGCATAGTCCAAGGGCAGCAAAGATGCCAAGGCCTGAAAGGAGGGGGTTTTCTGAGGCTGAAGAGAAACCTCTCTGTCGCTACTGGATCCTGATTGTCTTGGCTCCTCCTCTGTGCCCTCAGACACCTCCTTCATGTACATGATTGCCGGCCTCTGCATGCTGAAGCTGTATCAGACCCGCCACCCGGACATCAACGCCAGCGCCTACGCTGCCTATGCCTCCTTTGCCTTAGTCATCACCCTCACCGTCCTCGGAGTGGTGCGTCCCTCCCCACAGCCTTCAGCCTGACTTTCAAAAAGTTTCCCCTAAGGAGGGGTTTGTTTTTTGTTTTTGTTTTTTTTCTTTCATTTTTTTTTTGTTTTTGGAGCTCAGGTGAACAGAATTGAATTAATTATAATCTTTGGTTCATGATACACTCTCATCATTGATACATTTGTGATACTTTAGTTATTTGGCTAGTTATTTTTAATAATGTAATTGGCACCTGTAGAACTACCCCTGGAGAGTTTTAATATAAAGCGGGGGCTTGACTCATGTGAGGTTGCAAAAGAGATGTACAAGATTGGAGAGACTGACTTAAACGAACAGAAACCACTTTCTAAATGTGCATGGATAACAAGTGTTAGTTCTCTTCAGTTATTGGAAGAGCATTAGCCCCCAACTTTAGACCCATTGCCCCTTTCTTCTTGTTGTTCAGCTGCCTCACTTGTTTCTTCCCTTTTCCATTCTCATTTGGCCAGGTGGCTATTCTTTTTCCTGCCTTGGATGCAGTAAGATCCCTGTGAGCTCAGAGAAGGAGGGAAAAAACAAAATGCATGCACTGCTCAGTTTTTGATTCCTTATGCAGGAATGAGAGACAGATGATTTTAGTGAGTTCTCTAGGAAAACCTCCGGATGAAGATAACTTCCACCTTTACTCCTAGGTGTTTGGAAAAAATGATGTGTGGTTCTGGGTCATCTTCTCTGCGATCCATATTCTGGCCTCTCTGGCCCTCAGCACCCAGATCTACTACATGGGTCGTTTCAAGATAGGTAAGTCACCCGTTATTCTATACTAAACACACTGATTAACTTACCCTGAGAAATTGTCTTCACAGAAGTGTTACTGGTCACTGTGAACACGTACTCTGAATTCTGTGTTGTGTTTATAGCATGCATTCTCTCCAAGAGCTTCCTCTCCTTTATAAGATTGCAATAAACTATAATCACTGGTTCTAGTCACCTGAAAAACTAAGCTTGCCATACCTGAGAGCTGACACATACCTCCAACTCCAAGTCCCAAGTGCTTTACAACCCACCAAACTTTGAAAGTGTATTTACAGAACAGTATGATCATCACACCACTAGTTCTACATAGGGGATGTTTTTTGGTTTGTAGTATATAAAAGGAGCATTTCTCTAACCATGCTAAATGGTTATCAAGAATGAATTAGATATTATTTTCAGTTTCTGGGACTGGAACTATTGGAGACCAACTTGCCATTCTCACCTTCTGAACTCCCTCCGACAATGTAACCATTATAACACTGAATGTTCTACAGAAATCAGCTTCTGATCTGCTGTTGGTCAGTCATCATACATGGGAGCAGGTTCATGTCATTTCTAGAGCATTTACATTTCACCAGTCATTTTAAAGTTCATGAAGTCAGACTTAAATATTCTTTTGTATATGTCAAGGAAAATCATTATATATAAACATAGGCCCACTCCTAATATTTGTAGAGCCCAAGGCAAGATTTCAAATAAAAGGTCACATATCACATGTGTAAAAATTTTAAAGTTATGACACAGACTAAAAAACTATTAAATATATGGAAGGAAGGAAAGGAAAGGAAGACAGAAAGGATGACCAACAAACTAATAAATATAATATGCCTTCATTACAACCTAAAAGGTCCAGGTTCAAATTTAGAATTCTCAGTTCCTCAGAACAGAGCTATATGGAAGAGCCCACCCTTTTTTCTTCCCACCTCCGTCTCTGTCCTGTATCTGAAGGAGCCTCGCAAATATGCATATGGATATGCATATTTGCATATCCATATGCATATTTGCTCAACATCCGAATGACCACTCCCTGCCCATAGAGGTGCATATTCTAGTGGTGCCGTCTGCCTCAGGAAGATGATCAGGGAAGGGAGCTAGGCAGGCTCTGAGAGCAAACTCGAGGGCATGTAGGCCAGGAATTCTAGGGTCGGGAATTCACTATGTGATCTAGAAAGAGAAGTAGTCCCCCTGCCCTGCGGATCCCTTGCTCAACATCCGAATGACCACTCCCTGCCCATAGAGGTGCATATTCTAGTGGTGCCGTCTGCCTCAGGAAGATGATCAGGGAAGGGAGCTAGGCAGGCTCTGAGAGCAAACTCGAGGGCATGTAGGCCAGGAATTCTAGGGTCGGGAATTCACTATGTGATCTAGAAAGAGAAGTAGTCCCCCTGCCCTGCGGACTCCTCACTCAGGGGGCACGAGGGCCTCTAAAATTTGAGATCCTTCTTGCTCGTGGTGATTCTATGTAAACAGGTGGCTTGTTTAGGACTGTAAGACCAAATAAAACATTTTCTTATTTTGGCAGTTTAGGTTTCCTTTTTGGCATGGTCAGTAGATTTATCCTTGGCACTAACATAGCCAGTGTACCTCCAAATCCCCCAGGGGATGCATCATTTGCTGGTTGTGTGGTTCGTTTGGTTTGGTGCTCTGGTTATTTTCCATCCTCCAGACTCAAAGATGAGTTAAGTCATACAAAGTCAGCTTCCAAAAAAAAATAATTTGAATCATTGTGGCTTTGGGTTCTCTCAGAGAACCAGAACAGTAGTCCCCCCTTATTCAAGGAGAATATGTTCCAAGACCCCCTGTGGCTTCCTGAAACCACAGAGAGTACTGAACTCTATATATATTGTTTTATCCTATACGTACACACCTATCATAAAGTTTAATTTATAAATTAGGCAGAGTAAGAGATTAACAACAATAGCTAATAATAAAATAGAATAATCATAATTACTGTAATAGCAGTTATGTGAATGTGGTCAATCTTTCTCTCTCAAAATATCTTATTGTCCTGTACTCACCTTTTCACTTCAAGAAAGCTCTTTACAGCTTCTCTGTGGCACATCCAAATTGCCAGCATCACTATTCTTGCACTTTGGGGCCATTATTAAGTAAAATAAGGTTTACTTGAACACAAACACTGAGCTACTGACAGTCCAACCGATAACCAAGATGGCTACTAAGTGACTAATGGGTGGGGCACATACGCAGCATGAAGACGCTGGACAAAGGGATGAGTCAAGTCCCAGGCCAGCTCACGGGACTCGCGAGATTATATCACGCTACTCGGAATGGTGCCCAATTTAAAACATGAACTGTTTATTTCTGAAATTTTCCATTTAATTTTTTCAAGCCCTGGTTTACCAGGGGTAACTGAAACTGCATAAAGCAAAATCACAAATAAGGGGGAAGTACTGTATATGTAATGGTGACCATTAATACACAAAGACTGAGAAAGATTTATTCACAAAGGGACTATTTATAAGACAAGAGTGGGGTAAAGAAAAATGAAAGGGGTAGCATGGTAACCGAGGGTTAGAAGCAGAGAAGCTTTTACTATCCATAGCCCAAAAGGACAGGGAAAAAGTGGTTACTAAAATGTGGAAAGAGAGTATCACGGAGAGGAAGCCACTCTGAAAGGAACAGTGACCGTTAGCTGACAGATACGGCCAGTCTGAGGCCACCTCACAGGGAGGGTACCAGGCAGGTACATACTCTGAGTTCACTCACCTTCCTCTGTTCCCCCAGTGTCCTGCTGGGGTTTCCCAGTGTCCCAATCCGTGGAGAGTGAGGACAGAGAGACGTGGCAAGTAGGTCTGAAAGGGCAAATAGAAGATGGCCAGTGTCTAGCTTACCTGAATATTTTCAATTTCTGGACCCAGGAGTCTTCCCTGTGTGGTTATAGATTTACCAGAGTCAAATGGAAAACTCTCTATTTCATCGTGACGACGATCGCATCTAAATTTAGTCCAAAGGCAGGAAGTTGAGTTAGTGGACAGTGGTTCAGGTAACACCAACCTCTCAACCCATTTCATAAGCTGCCTTTGCTTTTTCAAACCACATTTCCTTTCTCCGTGGCCCTGAGGCCACACACGAAGATAAACATGGACACAGGAAAGGCAACGATAGGACAGAAAACTGTAGAACTACTTTGCCCAGAACTACTGTACTACCAGAGCCCTGGAAAAGGGCCACAGGGATGAGAGAGAATCGATTATAAATTGTAAGTGGTGCACAAAAGGAGACAGAGAGGGAAAAAAGCCTGATTCCTTCCTTGAGGAATAGTAGACTTCTGAATGTCTGAGACAGGCAGGAAAATTTCACATTCTGTATGATGAGCAAACATTACTTTTATAATCAGAATATAGAATTTAAATTTAAAACGCTAAATATCTCAACAAAAAAAAAAAAGGAAAATTAAAGTCATCTATTTAGAGAGAAAAATGAAATGACCAGTAGTTTATCTGTTTGGCTACCTTCTTACAGATCTTTTTTTTTTTTTCCTCATTTCTTCTCTGCTTCCCACTGATTCAGATGTGTCTGACACAGGTAATGTTCAGCCGCCTTTCACAGGGTTCTAGATTGTTTTCTGGTTGTCCTGCCAGATCTGCCCCCTAAGCACTCCCTTCTAGGTTGGGCAGCTTGTTGGGATGGGGAGCCAGACAGAGGCTCAGAGGCCAAGATCACTCCAACTCAGCTGCCGCGCCTCCTCTGGGCTATCGGGTGGACCTGCCTCTCCTCCTTCTTCCCTCAGTGCATCTAGTCTAGTGGAAATTGGTTAAATTGACCCCAGGAGTAGCCTAGAGGAGAAGTAGCATTTGCAACAGAGCTGAACTTCGCCCTCTCTAAACGATTTGCTTTAGGCAAACCCAGCCTTGCATGTGATGTCTATGATGTGAACAGCTCCGAGAAAGGCAGCTCCACCCATGGCCCTGAAGCATATAATAATTATAACATGCACACTTGCTGTGTTTCATACTGTCTTTTTGAAGAACTGCATTTAAAAACATCTTTCCGGTCTTTTTCTCCTTATCTTAACTAAATTCCTTTAATTCAGTACAGGTTTAGGCTTTCTGAGCATGCTCAGTAGGCCCCAATACCCCTTGGTTCAATTCTTACTGACTTATAACCACATTGAGAAATATAGATTAAAACTTTTACAAGCAAAGATTTCTAATCTTCTAGAGCAAGCAGATGTTTTAAGGTGAGTTTGAGGGGCCCCATAACACCTCTGCGATAAAGGAAACCACTAGAGTGAATTGTAAACAAAGGGACACTTAGCTGAAGGAGACCATAGAAGGGTTGGCCAGCCACCCAAATTATTTGTGAGTGCTGGTTACTCGTGTCCATCTTGCTTGCCTTTCTGCAGTATGACCCATGGATGTGGCACACCCTCCACTGAAAGCACAGATGGTGTGGGTGCCATTTGTTAAAGCTAACATTTCTTGCACACCCATTTGGAGCAAAGCACCGTTTTTATGAGGTGAAGACAACATCATCCTGGCCCCAAAAGCTTGAGCTACATGGGAGTATTTTGGATCATCTCTGATAAGCCTTCTTACCATGTGGTTGTGTCATCGGCAGATTTGGGGATTTTCCGGCGGGCTGCTATGGTGGTCTACACGGACTGCATCCAGCAGTGCAGCCGGCCTCTGTACATGGTATGTGCATACTCCTGTGTTCCCTGGCCTTCTCCCAGAGAGCAGGGGACTAGCAGGAGGGGCAGACTCAGGGAAGTCATCCAGCTCCCTAAACCCAAAGGGCCAGATGGCCCAGGGTAGCTGAGGTCCAGTCAGGGGGAAGAAGCATGTTGTTTATTCTTCTTGTTCATAAAAAAATAATAATAAGCTGGGATGGTGCCACTTTGGTACATGAAACATTGCTAGTATATAAAAAAGAAAAATATATATGTATAAAACTACTAAATAGTGATCGTTGCTGTGGGGAAGGATCAAGACAGATGTCCCTGTAAATGACCATCTAAAGAGGTATGATTATTTCACTTGTGAAAGTGAAAGGGGGTGCTACTAATAATTGTACCAGGACAGCAGGCATAAACCAGGACTGTCTCGAGCAAACTGGGACACATGGTCACTCCAATCACTTTCATTAGGCACTTACGCTTTCTACATTATACATTGGTTTGATTTTTATACATTGTTTGATTTTTATGATGAGTAAGAATATTTTTTTTTCAAGCCTGTGGTTATTGCTTAATGGATGAAATACAAGTTTTAGAATTTTTTCCATTATCGTTTTCAGTATATTATACATTTCTACACTGAGCAGAGGAATCAGGGCCCTGCTCAAAGTTATGTCTTGGCTCACTGGCCAATGACCTTGGGAAAATTTCGCACCTCCTCTGAGCCATTGCCTCGGTCTTTACACAGAGTCGTGGTCAGAACTATTGATGCTGTTGGGGCCTGGTACACAAGAGTTCACTCAATATCTGCTAATAGATTATAATCAGGAGGATTTTTACAGAAATCTTTTAGCCTCCCCAGAGCTTGAATAGGAGCTACAGGCACTAAAAAGTGAAAGAACAGAGGCTGGAGGGTTTTTTGATGTTTTCTTTCTTCCTTTCCAGGACAGAATGGTATTGCTCATTGTGGGGAATCTGGTTAACTGGTCCTTGTAAGTAATCTTAGGAAAACACATTTTTCTCTTTATTAATGTCCATACACTGTGGTTTAGCTTTCCTTGCCTGTCATTTTTATAAAGAAATCTGAAATTAAGGAGAGCATAGGATTTTGCTTGCCCTAAAGATTTGAGAAAAACTTTTTTTTTTTTTTTGGTCTCCAAGACTACTCTAGGAAATTCTCGAATATCAATAGTGGTCTCTCTTAAAGAAGTGAGTTCAGTGCATTAATGCATTGAGTTCGTTTGCTCAACAAGACAAATATCAGATTTGTTATAACTATGTGGCTAAAACAGATACATGGATGGATGGATGGATGGATGGATGGATGGATGGATGGATGGATGGATGGATGGATGGACGGACAGACGGATGGACAGACGGACAGATGTTATTCTAGTAGTTACAAATTTGCAACATAGTTTTAATTTTTTTGTAAAACTTTCCATAAAGGTTACCCAGTAGGCATTTCTCTCTCTCTCTCTTTTCTATTTATTTCTTTCCCTCTAGATCTCATTCTTCCTACTCCACCTATATTATTCTTCTTCCTTCCCCTCACCCCTTTATTGCCTTGGTCTTTTTTCTTCAAATGGCCTCAAAATAGAACAGTACAACAGATGTATATTTTTGATAGCTGTAATGATTTTACACAACCTAGTCTCAACTCAAAAATGTGCACGAGTGAGTTTTTTACTAATCCCTCAAAAATAAATAAGTTTAGCTGCTTTTATTAGTGGTTCTTAGCTGATGTGCTCCTCCAGGCTAGTGACCTCTGATAGAAAGATGGCTCTCTACTCCTGCTGCCCTTTACAACATAAAAGGAATGAAGAAAGAGGCATATCTTCAGAGGAAGCCAGAATCTAGTCATTTGAGAATTTGAATATTACTTGGGCACCATATGCTTCTAGAAGGAACTCCCCATAATATCACCCCAGGGATTGCCTTGGGTAACAGTCATACCTGTGAAAAATCTCTTCTTTATGTGGGGACAAGTGGAGATGAGCAATTCTTGGCGGTGGTCACCTCCCACGCTCTTCAGGACTACCCTTTGAGAGTAGACCACACAGTCCTGGTGACTCCGTAAGGCAGGTTAATAAATATCGATATTCTAAAAATCATAGATAGCCAAAATTTGATAATGTGTGTCGAGCCAATTATTGAGATAATTCTATGTCTAATAATCTAGTCCAACAAATTCATCTTAAATGAAAAAAAAAAGCACACTATGTCTGAAGATATTCATTTATTCATTGCAGTGTTCTTTATAATAGTGAAAAACTAAAGGAAGGAGGGAAAACTCTTTATTTCAACCAGGGAGGAAAGATGATTCTTTATAGTACATCCACTTATGGAAACCTTACAATCATTAAAAATGAATATTCTGAAGGAAGTGTAATAAATTTAAAGTCACTTATAACATATTAACATAGTTTTAAAAAATTCCCCTCCTTGACAAAATGGGAGTGGAAAAGTGAAAAAGCCACCAATGCTACAAATCCCCCTTCACGGCTGCAAAATAATTCCTCCCCATGTGCTCAGTGCCCTCTTTGGACTCATCTACCGACCCAGGGACTTTGCTTCCTACATGCTGGGCATCTTCATCTGCAACCTGCTGCTCTACTTGGCCTTTTACATCATCATGAAGGTAAGCATGGCCACGGGGAGACTGGGAGCCTCACCGCTTAAGGCCCTCCACAGGCAGTGCAGGCAGCTGGGCAGCCTCTGCTTCTCACCCACAGCTCCGCAGCTCCGAGAAGGTCCTCCCCATCCCGTTCTTCTGCATCATTGCCACGGCTGTGGTGTGGGCCGCCGCCCTGTATTTTTTCTTCCAGAATCTCAGCAGCTGGGAGGTAAGAGGACAGTTTTCTTTTCCAAGAAGGTGTTCTCTTTCCATCTTGCCTTTTGACTGTCCCGCCTCCCTCTCTTCATGTGCTTGTTGCTGTTTACCTTTTTTACATGCTCTAAAACGAAAGGTTTCTCTAAAAGTTTTAATATTCACACATAAATGCCCAATGAATGGCTTGTTGTCATCATTATCAAGGTTGCTCTCGCAAGTGTGTAAGCCCCACAGACTCTGCGAATTTGATCTTCATTATGTGTTCTGTTATGAGCCTGCTCCCAGGGGATGTTTAACTTGTGCACGAACCTGATTAGTGTATCTTCTCCACCTTTCTCATTGTAATCACAATGCATAAACAGATATCCAGGTGCAGGTGTTTAAAAATCCATTTCATAGACTGGAAAGTTGAGGCCTAGGCAATTAGTGACATAGCTGAGGTACAGAACAAGGAAGTGTCCGCTCTCCATCTCCACGATCACCACAATCAATTTTAGAACTTTTTATCACCCCAAAAAGAGACTCCCCATTTCTCCCTAAGCCCTTGGACCTGGACAGCCACTGATCTATCTTTTGCCTCTATAGATCTGCCTATACTGGACATTTCATTCAAATGAAATCATATAGTATGCAGCCTTTGGGTCTGGCTTCCTTCACTTGGGGCATAATGTTTTCTAGATCCGTTCATGTTGTAGCATGTGTCAGTACTTCATGTCTTTTGATTGCTGGGTAATATTCAATTGTGTAGATACACTATACTTTCTCTATCTATCCATTCATCTGTTGATAGACATTTAGGTTGTTTCCACCTTGGGGCTCTTGTGAATGATGCTGCTGTAAACATTTGTGTACAAGTTTTTGTGTGAACGTGTGTTTCCTCGGAAGCTAACTTTTTGAGCCAGGCATCTAGTAGCATTTGTGTAGCTTTCTGGATGCCTAGCCCTCTAAGCAGTTGAACCGTGGGAATGCTCGCCCACGTCCTGCCTCGCCTTCCTCCAGGGAACCCCAGCCAAATCCCGGGAGAAGAACCGTGAGTGTATCCTGCTGGATTTCTTTGATGACCACGACATCTGGCACTTCCTGTCTGCCACTGCCCTTTTTTTCTCATTCTTGGTAAGTTTATAATACTTTTTTAGTTAATTTCTTCTCTTTACATTCTGTACTCTCTCTGTTTCTCTTCCTCTCGTCCTTACACCCTTTTCTGTATTCCTCTCTAATTTCCCTTTGCAAGTGGCCGTTGTAATTCAATGTACAGATTGTCTCTTTTTTTTTTTCTTTTTATACTGTATCCTTGGGTTAGACATTATTTTCATTTCCCTTTACTCTTCAATATCTTAAGACACAGAGTGACCAAATGATTTTCCTTAAGCTGCACAACATTTGGACTGAATTGGTTATTAGAACTCATATGCCCAGTATCCCCCCAGGAATCAGTTTTGGTGTCCACTAAACATTCGATAACATTAGGTTATTCCTTCTTGTGCTATACTCACATTCCTCTTCCTCTTCCAGTCTCACTGAATATCTTAAAAATAATGTGTAAATTCCTGGAGTGGCTCAGGATAGCATCCAGTTGCCTTCTAACCAGTCAGTTTCCAAGCTCCTCTGTAGTCTCTCGGTTTTTTTATCCAAATGCCTTCCCAGAAGCCAAGCATATTATAACAGCCTTAACTCCTCGCTTCCTTTTGTCTTAATTTTTGACTCTTCCAAATTAAAAGTCCATGGTACCTGCACTGTTAGTTGACAAATAAGGACCTGACTAGGCATCCAGGACTCCCAACACCACCCCCATGAAAGTCTCCGCGGCCTTATTACCACAAGAGTGGAGCAGGGCTACCCTCTGGTGGCCAGTTTGGAAAGTTTAGCCAATCTGTATAAACATTTCTTAAGGCTTTTATTTTTCATGGTAACCTTCATTAGAGAGAGAAAACAAAAGTGGATGGAACAGTTCCATGGGGAGAAAGTGGTGGCAGAGGAACTTAAAAATGGAGGAGGAGGATACATTTCTTATATAGCAACGCTATGCAATAAGACTTCATTTCCTTGAGGTTTTGAACTAAATGTCCCCTCCTAAGTAATGACTTCCCGGCCACCCTATCAAAACTTTTTTACCTCTTCCTACCCCATGCTTCCTATGTCCCCTCCGTAGTTTAATTTTTATCCTTAGTACATATTACCATCTAATATACTAGGCACATATTTCTACCTAACGTATTATATTTTATTCATGTATTTGCTTCACTTCTGAAGCCCTCTCTCTAATGTAAGCTCCAGAAGGGTAAGGACTTTCATCTCTTTTGTTCGAAGATACATCTCCAGCACCTAGAATTGCACATAATATACCCTTGATAAATATTTGCATTAATTAATAAATTAACTATATAATTATTATGAGTGCCCATTAAGAGCACGGCATTGCAAGAAGCTGTGGAAGACATGACAACAAGGAAGGGCGTTTGTAGTTTTGGTCTGCGTGAGTCTTTGAGAGAAAGCAGAGACTTACTGTGCCTGTGACTGTGCTTTCCTTTCCTCTCCCTGCCCCTCTCCTTTCAGGTTTTGTTAACCCTAGATGATGACCTGGATGTGGTTCGGAGAGACCAGATCCCTGTCTTCTGAGCCTCCAGCGTTAAAGAGGGGAAAGGGAGAGATCGATCTTGGTGCTGTTTCATGAAAAATACAGGGACTGCCACAAAGTAACCACTGCCAAATGCTCCACTCACCCTCCTTGGAGTCAACTCTGCATACATTCACACAGGGAGGAGAAGAGCAGAGGGAGATTCAAACCTGCAAGAAGGGAGGCAGAAAGGAAGCCAGGGCCGTGGACAGAGGCAAGCCCTGAAGAGTCGAGAAACATCCATCCCCTTATGTTGCAACTCTGAGCTAGACAAGGACAAATGCTGCATCAAAGTCAACTCGTTATCTTGGGATCCCTCCCACCTTCACCTGGGATTGCCAGCAAAAGCAGAACGATGCTTCACTCTTCCCTCCAGCTGCCTCCATGCCCAGAAAGGCCAACAGCTCAAATTTCCCACCCAGAAACTAGGTGGTCCCCCTTTGCACCTCAGCAACATCTGCTGCTCTATACATCCCAAAGCACCAGCTCATTTCTCCAGGATCCAGGGACGATGTGGTTGCTCAGTCTGGTAGAGAAGTGCACCCCACTGGGATAGATGTTTTAGCAGCACCAGCCAGTCATCTCCTCAGAAGGAATGCTGTATGTTTCCCCTGGGTTCCTGACCCTCTTAGAAAGAATCCAGATTGGGCCTTGTCACACACACATCCTCCTAATAGGTAACTGTCTTTGGAACCAAGGCTTGGGTGCCTACCTACTTCTTGGTATCTTCATCTCACTGCTGTGTGTTGACCCCGTAACTCAGGCTTTACATTCTTGAGAAGGCCCTGTTCGTCCACAGACCAGGTCCAAGGTGGAAAGGAAAATGGGAAAACTTTTCCAGCAGCAGTTGCAGCAAGAGAAATGGCTGACATCACTAAGACACTGGTGACATCAGAATCAAGCAAACAGGCCTCACTATAAGGACTTGGACTCCTGGAACAAATTCAACAAAAATGCTTCCTCATGCCTCCAATTCAAACAGCTCAATTCCGTGCCCACATAACCTTTGGAGAAGAAATATGTGTTTAAACAGGGGCACTGCGTGAAGGGTCCTCCACCACTAACCCAGCTCCTTATCCATCACTTGATGCACTTCAGGGCCTCAAGAATTTCTCCTTGAAGTTCTCTAGAAGTAACTCTCATGGTGATCATATTTTACTCTAAATCTAGTTGCAAAGAGCACAGGCAATTTAGGGTCATCTTGGTTGCCCCTTAACCTCATTCTCTCTCCAGGAACACCAGTGGGCATTGAAAGTTCAGCATCCCACCTTCCTTCTCACATAGTCTGGCAGCTCTGCCCCTGAGAGTCCTATTTTGACCAGGTGCCCTTACTACCTGGAGTATGATGTAATCAGAAAATATGCATACACAGGTACACACGTAGACACATTTGCCTGTGACACTGAACTCATGTTTCACCTCTGCTCTCCTGATCATTCTTTAAGGAAAGGGATCAGCCATTCTTTCTGTTTAAAACTATTATCCTTTGTCTAAAATATGTGCATAATGTTCAAAAACACATTTTGGAAGTTTGAATAGCAAACTTTCCCTGATTTTAAAAACACAAAGATGCTTTTAATGAAATATTTTGTGATTTTTTTTTTTCTAAAATGCCCCCAAATTTGTAATTGGTCTTCTGTTACCTTTTATTCTTTAAAAATTGCTTGCATTCATAGGTCTCATGAAGACCACCTAGTAAATGGTTTTGTTAGTCTAACATCTAAAACAAATTTCAAATCCGTTTAACTATGGCTGATTTGACCTAGTTCTTTTATTTTAATGCACTAGTGGTTTCAAAAAAAAAAAGAAAAAAATCCACTAAGGAATGTGAACAAAGCTCGTTAAAGCAGCCCTGTGACCTAAAGTGAATAAATCGTGTGACACATTACCTCTTCGGTAGCTTGTTTGGGAAATATGTCCATGGAAATTGGGAGGGGCCTGTAGAATAAAGGGACTGTGCTGCTGTATTCTTGATCTTTTTCTGATGTCTGTCTTGTGCTCATACATTGTGGTCAGTTTTGTTCTCTGCAGCAGGACTAAAAACCTAGACCAAGCCTGCTCTTATAAATATCAATTTTAAAATTACTTGTTGCTCATTCTTTCTACAGTGCCGATCTCGCGGTTCGAGGACTCAAGAGAATGGTTTGACTGCATCTGTGTGGTTGATAAGAATGTGGGACGGAGGGAGGCAATCAGTTCTTCATAACTGAACAGCACCTCGTCTTTAGTAGTACAATGCCTGTGTGACTTTTGCCTGTGTCCATGGAGTTCACTCTTTAAAAGAGAAGGGAAGGTAATTCAAAAAAGGAGAGTAACTGGAGAGAAACAGCCACAGTGAAGGGCTCTTGGAAGAGCAGGCACAGAAGTAATAAGAGCAGCTCAGCTAGAGCGGGTCAGCTACGTGGCAGCCAAAGTGGCAAAAGAGTGCACATAAAAAATGACCTCTTCACATCTCTGACTAATGCTGGAGAGGCACTCCCACCTGTCGATGCTGGAAGGTTGAGGGATTAGCCCAGTTTTATTTTAGTAGCAGCAGAAGCCAGTGGAAAACCAGATTCTCTCTGGGGGAGGGGACTTTCCATGACTGAAGGAGAACCCTGAGCCAGCTCCTGAGGCAGAGAAAGTGGCAGCTGCTTCCTTTGTAGCTCCAAACAGTCACCAGAATATTCTGTGGGGCCGCAAAATGCATGTGTCAGTTGACTAAATGTTTCTCATTCTTGGAGATAGACTTTCTATGTAAAAGTTGGGGGAAAAAGAGAAACAAAGATAAACATTCGTCATAGAAAAAACAGTAGAGTCGGAAGATTCTTGCGTCAGACTTTAGTCCAAATATGGTCACTGCGTGACATGCAGCAAGTCGCTGGAACTCTCTGATCCTCACCTACTTCCTTTACAGGACACTACATGAGGGTGACAAAGGTGGAGAGGTGCAGAGCACCAGGAGCAGTGCTGGCACAGAAGATCGTCACCCAGCACCTCTTGAATCCCACAGGGACTCAGGACAAGAGCAGATCTCTCCACTGGGCTGGCATCTCCCACCTCCAGTGTCTCTCCACTAAAATCGGCTATTCTGTTTCCTGTGCTCAGTTCCAGGAGGGCCTGAAGGGCCTGGAAGTCCGTCTCACCTTCAGAAATACTGCCCAGATCTATAAACCTTTCAGCTCCAGATCCCTCCTTTCCTCTTATGGCTGCATTTCACTGCCCCTGGCCTGTAATACTCATTCAAACTCAGATGAAAAATTGCTACCACAGCTAAGGTCAAGTGGAAAATCTGGCTAGTATAATATCCCACTTCATTACTGCCTTCTCTCTCCGGGGAGTCTCAAAGAAAACCTAGATGTTCTCCTCTCTCCAATAGCTGTAACTACCGTGGTTCAGGGAATGTGACTTACAAGTATTCCCCCAACCTGCCCCACCCTTATCAAAAAAAAGGATATTCAGCCTGGATGAAAAAGGGCTTCAACTTGTGGGTGACAAAACAGTCACAGAAAGAGGAAGCATGGAAAGGTCATTCAGGTTTTAAAATGACTCTAATGTCCCCTGGTGAAACGAAAGGAAAGATGAGTAAGATACCATTTGCTTCCACCTGAGACAGTGTAAAACCCTTGCCTACCACAATTCTGCTCTCTTTAAAGTAGTTTTTTTGTTTTGTTTTTAATGCTGTTTGGTGGAGACAAGCTATACCTGTGTGGCTAAGTTTTAATAGCTCCACAATATTAAGGCGCCACTGTCATCAAGGATAAGTGCTTGCTAAATCTTATGCCTTAACACACATGAATTCAAATAAGCTTGACGTGAGTCACAGATCAGCCTTCATTGGCTATGAACTCCAAGGGGCGTTGGAGTTCAGTGCGGTCTTGCTATTCTTATTGAAATACAAAGAAGGCTAAGTGGTTCCTATCATTCACATAGAATTACCTTTTGCTCCCTCAAATCTTAAGGAAATGAAGCTCTGCCCTCTTTTTAAATATCTCTAGATTAGGAGATTTCACAATTTTCCTGGAACTCTAAATTTTAAAATATTCCTTGGCTCTACCCTATACTCTATCGCTTTGAATTTTCTGCCACCTAAGACATCTATTTCACTGGAGAGGAACAATAGCAAATCGCCGTATTTTAACATAGAATAGCTATGAAGTCATATCAAATTTCGGTCAATCGCTAAATAAAGTCTGGGTGGCCCAGCACTATCGTTATGGTTTATAAAGCAAAAAGTTTAAACAGTGAAAGATTTTTAAGTGAGGACAAGAGAAAGCTGACATAAATCCCACGATGGCTAGCTCCTCGGCCCAAATTTCCTCTAACTCTTGACATTCTTCATGAATTAGGACTCCAAGTCCTTTACAGGGAAGACTATTCAAAATGATTTGAAAGCTCTCCATTTTAAGATGCTATAACATTGCCATCAGAGAAAGAAAATTGATTTGCATTTTATGATTTTATTATATTGCTTATCTGAGTCTTTCACAAGGCTTAATACCCAGTTCTAAATAGACCCCTTCAAGGAAGAGTACAAATTCAGGCTTCAGATTTACTGTTTCTTTCTTCATGTGAGACATGTTGTAAAGTAATTTCCTTTTTAGGGGGTCTATTTCCCTTTTATCCTCTCCTTCCTCCGCTTCTCTGTTTACTTACATAGAATCAGAAACACTGCTTCAGTCAATAGTCAATCAAGAAATATTTGGGCAGGCCCTGTAAAGAGCTGGGCGCAACAAGAAGAGAATGGCTTTAAAGAAACAAAAATAGCTTTATCTCCCTAATTCTTAACAATTTCAACAACCACGTGGGCCTGACTGGAGGATAAGCTTGGCACTGAGTGTCTCAGCCTGCCCTTTTAGTAGAGTCATACGATTTATTGGAAACTGTTGCCCTCAGTTCCCATCTCCAACTCCTAGAAGATTAAAGTTGTCAGAACTGATCATTAAAACAGTCAACATTTGTCATCAGGCCTTCTGCCAAAAGTTATATATATATATATTACCATAATTAATCTTGAAAACAAGCCCCCAACCCCCAATGAAATCGATACTATTACTATTACCCCCATTCTCCAGATGGAGAAACTGAAACTTGGAGAAGTCACCATTCATTAGATGAAACGGACGGTGCAGAAGCATGGATTAGCAGTCAGACATGAGGAGTTTAGGTAACAAGACTAGAGAAAGGAAAGACCCATTGTGGTGCAATGATGATTCAACTTTTATTTGTGCATGAATCTATATATGTAAAATGCAGCCTGGAATTATATATCTATTGAACATATTAATAAAAAGAGAATGTTTGTCTCCAAAATTTAGAAAACAGGCGTCTGTTATAAAAACCTAAATAACAATGAAACCAACCATGCTTTAGGAAAGCCAATCAATAAAACTACGGCTTTGGATCATTTTGGTCTCTAAACTGGAACAGCTGGATTCATATGAGGACTGTTGCTTCAATTTCTAAGCTTGTAAAGTTAAGAACCACCGTCCTTTTTATAAATTTAATGATTGCACTTGGCAAAGGGCTACAGACCCAAGGATTTAAATTAAAATATATGTTGCATAAGGTTTCAAGTTTCCACTGGCAGCCTGTTGGTTCAGAAACAAAATTAACAATGGAAAGAAAGCACAGGAATGCAGTAGGTTTTTTATTTCCTAAAAAATATTCAGAGACAAAAAAAAAAAACTGTCAAGAGTCAAAAAGTCCTCTAAAGCTGCCTTGAAAACTAATCCGTGCTGGCCCAGTAGATCAAGCAGAATCTACGACTCCCATGGGTGGCTGAATCATCTTTGTTTTAGGAGGCTGGGCCCAGCCTGCCCCTCCTATAAGGGAGTGGTTTTATCCACCAAACTGAGTCAGAGGAACTAGAGTGTATTGAAGTATAAAATTATAATTCTTCATTTGGGGTACAGTGATAATGGTGATAAATATTTCCAAATTTATCCAGAAGACAAAAAAGCTTTGTGACTTGGTTTGAAACACTGGCATACTAACCAATTTTCTTCTATACCAAGCTGTCTCTTAGGCTCTTTAAAATATATATGTATTTAATGTGAATGAGCACATTTGCAACTCGGCAGCATTTTTTTAAAATAGGATTTAACCTAATTGAATCATGAATTCCCAGAAAACTCCCTGAGGCAGTAAGTTCACCACTACAATGTGGCTTCAGCATCTTTCCAAACCACGGATCTGAATGTGATTAAATCATGTAAGAAAACACCAAAACCTGACCTGCACAGCACCAAACATAGTTAAAACTGGATTTTCATATCTTCTTAAAAATCTGTAGCTTACTAGTCATGTGAAAAATTAAGCAGCATATTGATACAGTGTTAACCAACCTACCTGACTTCTGAACTTATGTAGACAGGAAATTAGCACTTATCTCCTTAACTTCTCACAGGAAGAATGGGTCAAAGGAGCTGTTGATGTTGACCAGCAAACTGTAATCTAGCAGAGTCCTGCAACTCAATCTCACGTGTAGGGGAGATGGAAATGAGTTAGGTCATGGAAAAGAATTGCCACTTGACATCTAAATACCCCTTTCCAACTGTGTAAAAACACTTTCAAATATAAAACCTCATTTGTCCTTCACAACAACACTGTGAGGGAGACAGGACAGATAATGTACCAACGAATAAACTAAGATGCAAAGAAGTTATGCCACTTTCCCAAAGCCACACAACTAGGTAATGGCAGCCTGATACAAAATATGCCATGGCTCTTTCTTTTTACAAAGAATGACAGTAAAATGACTTTTATATCTGGCTGACTCACAAAATTTATCAAGAGAAAAACATCAGTTCAGACCTCCTCAGATAGTTTTTTTCTTAATCTTTTTCTTTAGGTATAATATATTCAGTAATGTACAATATATATACTAATCTTAAGTTTATATAGATTGGTGAATTTTTACGTATGTGTTTGTGTGTGTAAATACACACACATACGCCAACGTAACCACCACCCACATTAAGATTCAAAGCGTTTCCAGCATCCTCATGCCTCTTCCAAGTTAATCCCTGCCCCAGAGATAACCACTATTCTGACTTCTCTCCTCATAGATGAATTTTGCCTGTTGTTGAATGTCACATGAA